GAAAACCTGGATCTCTCGAACCACTTTTCCATCCACGAACAGCTTTGCTGGATACAATATTGTTGCCTTTTGTTGTTTTCTTCGCTTGTTTAAGTTCATCTTTCAGCTTGTCTCTTGCTGTTCTAATTTCCTTAGGGAAATCTTCGCTGACACCACTCTGTTTACCTTTCAGATTTCTCCCCTGTCTTTTGACGAACTCCTTGTCTTTAAAACTTTCAAATTTCACAACTATGGGCTTCGCTTTCCCGGCTGTGTTCGCTTTTCCAAGCCTGTGTGCCCTCCCTATCCTTATTTTTGAGACTTCGCCTGCAGATATCCCCATTTCTCTGGTCATGAAGGATTTAACCAGCATTTCACAGTCCTCCGTATTGCTTGCCGTTCCCTGTTTGGGAGAGGTAGCAGCAGGTTTCAGACCGTAGAATATCAGGTTGTTCCTCCTGCTTCTTGTCTCTTGTTCCAAACCCCTCCTTTCCAGCTCTTTAATTTTCTTCATGATATTTTCATAGTGTACCCTGATTTTGTCTACAGTCTTATTTGTTTCTATCAGTTCTGCTTTCAATTTACAAATTACCTCGACTTCATCCTGAATTTTAGCAACTTTCTTTGAAGTGGATTCAATATTTTGTTGCATGTTTTGCAAAAGTTCATCATGGTTGTCCAGCCGTTTCTCAATGGCAGCTACACATGTATTTGTTTTCATCACTGTATCGTTTAATTCACCTAGCGTGCTGTTCACCTTTGCTAGAGTCTCACTCACAGTTACGAGTTCCGACCGCATGGCCACGAAGTCCTCGTGCAACACGCCGCCATCTTCATCCGCTCCTGGTGTCGAGCCCTGTTCTCTTTTTTCGCTTTTTCGCTCCTGTTCTTCTTTAAGTTCCTCAGTTTTTCTGCTTGTGTCGATGTTGTCCACCTCTTCCATCCTTGCCTTTGGCATTTCTGCTCAGTTTGAGACGGTCCCCGTTACGCGTACTATGTCTTTGACTTATTTTAAGTGCTGATATTTCGAAAGAGTTGGTAACGTACCGACATGTCTATCAGCACATCAGTCCCAACACAAAGTCTTGTTACATATGTCAGATACTTGAAAGTTCCTTATAAATCAAGCGAATTATTTTTACAAGTGCATCATCTTCACTAATAAAGTCTAACGTTGGTACATTGCAACGACGGGCTCAGCCGATTAACGGGATTGGGTGATCAGACTTCCTGTCTTGGTTGACACATTTTATCGTATCCCAAATGCGTAGATCGATGCTCATGTTGTTGATCACCGGATTATCTGGTCCAGACTCGATTATTGACAGACCGCCGCCCCATAGCTGGAATATTGCTGAGTGCGGCGTAAAACTAAACTCAATCACGCACTGTTATCGGTTCTCCAACACAGATGGATGTATCAATGTTTTACAAGCTTCACAGATACTGTTTCTAGAAACTACACTTGAATATTATAAAACGTATGTATGTCCAAATATTGGAGATTTCCCCTTGATAAGCCAGCGAACCGACATGTCACCTCTTGCACGACTGTTGTTTCTTGGCAGTGTAATCAACAAAATATTATATACGTTACGCTGTTGGCAATGTTCAAGTACATATATATTATAGTGTGCTAATCCACATTGACGGAAGTATGTAATGACCGAAACTGCTGACAACAAACTTGTATTTACAAATCGGTTCCAGCAGCCTAAGACATAACCAGGCGTTGTGATAGTTGGGCATAGAGGGGATGCCAAGGTAGGAAATTTGTTATCATTCAAAAGCTGTCGGTACCTTTCTGAGAGCCATTCGATAAGGTATGAGTACTTTCTTTACCTATTATATGAATGTTCAAATACTGGTGATATCCCCTTTATAAACCATCGAACCGACATGTATCAACTGGGATAGATGTGAAATCAGATCAGGAAAATGTTTTTTTGACAGTGTGACCAACATAAATATCATCTACTTCCCACTGTATGCCGTGTACAAGCAAATATAAGCTTATCCACATCGTGTGTAACAACGAGAAAACAATGACATTGAAAGTATAATCCTTCAAATAAGATACATTTAGGGGTCTGAACCGTTTAGTTATATACATGTACGTGCACTGGTTAAGGCTTAGTAAATGGAGCAGATGGTGTTTAAACAGACATACACGAGTCCATAACCTAATAATACATTTTACTATCATGATCTATAAAACTCAATCTCCTAATATGAAGAGATCTTTGTTTCACATATGAGGTAGTTGGGTCTAATACATACTTATCAACAGTGTGAATTGCGTTGTCTCTTACACATATATACTCATGCCAATAATGGTTGTCACCCCCCTCCCCACCCCAACCCCACCTCACACCCCCACCCCCCACCCCCTCTCCAATTACAAAAATTGAAGGGGGTGACAACCATTATTGGCATGAGTATATATTCACTGTTTACCTGCGCAAGCTTCCTGTATGACAAAACTTTGCATCAAAATATTTACAAAGGTATAAGAATGTTCAACGAATTGGCATTTCCTTTTTCAGAAGCCATCAAAGCCAACATTTGACATCCAACATAAGGACGAAATTTGGTCAGTTTGTCTGAGGGTTTTGTGGGCAGTGCAATCAAAATATTCACTTAACAGTTCTAAATACGTATGGGAAAATGTTGTAATTGGTATGTGCAAATCCACAACGCTAATGTAATCGCAACACGAAGATATTGACATTAAAAGTACCACAAAAGCTCTTTATTTCATATATTACCATACATAAGAAGACAACTTATAGTAATTGTTATCCACATTGTTGATACAATTACAGCAGGAAGAAAACTGACAATACGACTATAATCATTGCAATATTCGACTTAAACAATGTTGACATGTATATAACAAGTAACTTACAATGACTTGTTGTTCGTCTCAGTAATATCCTTCTTATTTTTCGATGGAGTGTTTTGAATGTGAGCTTCACTTTCACATCCACACGGTAAGGGAAAGAACGTTTGTGTGAATGATATGCGCGATTGTTGTATGTGCTGTTGTAAGTTGATATTTCGTGTCATCTCCACATGTTCGGACAAATGGGCATGTTAATGTACACGTGACCCATCGGACCAATAGGCATGAGCATTCACAACTACATGCATACAGATGGTGCCGGCAAATATCGTCCACGCTGAGAAGATGCCGCCAGCAAGTATCGACCACGCTATCTATTGAGAGCGAGGTGTTTAGTGATAGATATTATAACAAAGTATGCGTCAGCACAATATAACCCCAATTGTTTTAGTCCACGAAAACGAAAAGTAGTCGTTACATGGGTGAAATATAAACAATGACACACACACACCAATTTTTTAACTGATATTTCGTGTTAAGAAATCGTACGTATAAAACTTGGATCTGAACGACTACATTGATAAATATAGTTAGCATCTCCATTTTAGCAAATTTCTGGCCCGTATCTTCCATCGTTACATGGTATTTTTACCGGACATATTTTTCGATCGCCCAGTGAAATAAACTAGGAGAAAACTTTTAGATCCATATCAATGATGTTAATTACAGGGTTTGTCATGCCTATATTAAGCCTCTATAGTTTTGTAAATATAAATGCCATTTATTATCTATTTGTTTTCCAATGCATTAGGAGGTCATAATTCATCCATGTTTTTAACTGTGGATGTGCTTGTGACATTCTCGACTCTCGGTGGGATGATAAAACAGTAAAAATATATTCATTATCTTGAGTTACTTTGGCACATATCATTTGTAAAAGTTTGTAAACAGATCCATATACATAGTCATTTTTCACAGAATGTTGTCACATATTAAGTGTCTGAATCGGTTTGCAAAACAACATGAAAAAGTTATCATTCCAATATTATTCAAAATGTTTATGATTATAATAAATATGGTGAAAGAAATGATCTGTATACAAAAATATCCACAATTACACTGCTCAATACAATGAATTTGACACAGTATTTGACTAAACTGAAAATAAGAAAATACACAGTATGATCAGTATGTTCATACATGCCTTTAAAGATACATACATTACCCATAATAATACAAATCCTTTTGCTTTACTGTATTATACTTTACAGCAGTGTACACATGCATAGTTCAACACACAAACATTGATTATGCTTATGTTTGCTCTGAATATGTTGACTAGTTCAATATTGTGGTTTTAATACCAACAGGTTTCCAAACTGAATGGAGCCCATTCCTCACCCCACCCCAGCCCCAGATATAGTTACAGTTTTTTATGTGTATGACAATGGGAAAATAGACGCATATGAAATATTCATAACTGTTCTTTACTAAACGTGACTTTAGCAAACTTAAGCCTCACCTGGGAGCGTGTATTTCAGAACATCGTTTACAGATAAAAAGTACTTTTTTCTAGTCATTAATACTGCTCGTTCAGTTTAGTTCCAGCATACCACAGGTGATAATGGACCACATCATCGATAAATGTATGTGGAATCACATTTGCTAAAATAGAGATGCTAACTAGATTTAATCAATGTGGTCATTTTGATCTATGTTTTATGTCTACAATTTCGTGACAATAGTGAGGTGACACCAAATATCAACGCACACGTCTTTCTTTAAAATGGGGTGTGTTTCACTGTTTACAGTTTGCCCATGTAACGACGACTTTCGTGTCTTGTTTTTGTTAAACCAGAAGAGCACCCACCCAACAGGAGTAAGTTGAGGTCATTCTTTTCATTATTATTTCAGGTTATGCAGGACAAGCTTTGAAGTATCCAGTCCTAGTCACAGGCCCTCGTGTCTTTGTGAGGGTTAACGAGATTGATCAATTTTGAGATTGAGATCAATTTTGAGATTGACCCCCAACTCGAAATGCTTCACAGTACAATAAATCATAACAAAGCCGACACTTCGGTGTACCCCACCTTCCTGCAATCAGAGGGCTTGCTTTGGCATACACCTTTCGTCATCCATTTGTGACGAGATCGTTTAGTTGAGGGTCAAAATCGGCTTTCAGTCGACTTGCAGAAATAACAATAAAGAATCAGGTAGGTGTCATGAGTGGTGATCGATAGGCCAACCATCCATGATTATATTTACATTAAATTTTAATCGATTGCAAGTGATGGTAGCGCAGCGATCGGCAAAGCAGGCGGGTGGGGTGCACCGAAGTGTCCGGCCTGGTCATGATTTATTGTACTGTGAAGCATTTCGAGTCGGAGGGCATCTCAATTTTGTTTTCTCTCTAATCTTTAATCCTCGCAAAAACACGAGGGTCTGTGGTCCCAGCAGCGTCACTACATTCATGGGAGCTGCTATACCTGTGTCGCTGGAGAAAGGCCCACCATGAACGCCCTTATGAAAGACTCAGTGAGGACCAACAGTGTTACATTTGCAATAACTGAGAGAAGCAACGGCTCAGTCTAACACTGAATACAGTTGCTGGATAAGTAAATGAAATTCCAGTTTTCAATTCATATGCATATGGATTGTGTCAACATGTAAGTGATATCGTTTGAAAAATCGTCTGGATCACGTTGTCAATTTTCAGTTGTATTCTTGTCAGGTTTGAGACTCTTTAAGTGGCATGACAATATGCATACTGATGTTAGTGGGGTCCTTTTGTTTGTCAACCTTTATGTCCCCTTTGACCTTTAGTCTCCCTCCGCTGCATGCTGACCTGCACTGTAACAAAGCAGCGTGGTGAGTGGTATCTGTACATGTCCATATAGGTCATTAGCCAGGCGTCTTTAGTACAGGAGGACCTGGGGGGTCAGGTTAGAAGGAGGGTCAGTAGCCATCTTCCACGTGCACTGTAACATAGCAGCGTGGTGAGTGGTATCTGTACATGTCCATATAGGTCATTAGCCAGGCGACCTCAGTACAGGACCTGGGGGGTCAGGTTAGAAGGAGGGTCAGTGGCCATCTTTCACCTGCACTGTAACATAGCAGCGTGGTGAGTGGTGTCTGTACATGTCCATATAGGTCATTAGCCAGGCGACCTCAGTACAGGAGGACCTGGGGGGTCAGGTTAGAAGGAGGGTCAGTAGCCATCTTTCACCTGCACTGTAACACAGCAGCGTGGTGAGTGGTGTCTGTACATGTCCATATAGGTCATTAGCCAGGCGACCTCAGTACAGGACCTGGGGGGTCAGGTTAGAAGGAGGGTCAGTAGCCATCTTTCACCTACACTGTAACATAGCAGCGTGGTGAGTGGTGTCTGTACATGTCCATATAGGTCATTAGCCAGGCGACCTCAGTACAGGACCTGGGGGGTCAGGTTAGAAGGAGGTTCAGTAGCCATCTGTCACCTGCACTGTAACATAGCAGCGTGGTGAGTGGTGTCTGTACACGGCCATATAGGTCATTAGCCAGGCGACCTCAGTACAGGAGGACCTGGTGGGTCAGGTTAGAAGGAGGGTCAGTAGCCATCTTTCACCTACACTGTAACATAGCAGCGTGGTGAGTGGTATCTGTACACGGCCATATAGGTCATTAGCCAGGTGACCTCAGTACAGCAGGACCTGGTGGGTCAGGTTAGAAGGAGGGTCAGTAGCCATCTTTCACCTGCACTGTAACATAGCAGCGTGGTGAGTGGTGTCTGTACATGTCCATATACGTCATTAGCCAGGTGACCTCAGTACAGGAGGACCTGGGGGGTCAGGGTAGAAGGAGGGTCAGTAGCCATCTTTCACCTACACTGTAACATAGCAGCGTGGTGAGTGGTATCTGTACACGGCCATATAGGTCATTAGCCAGGTGACCTCAGTACAGGAGGACCTGGGGGGTAAGGTTAGAAGGAGGGTTAGTGGACATCTTTCACCTACACTGTAACATAGCAGCGTGGTGAGTGGTATCTGTACATGTCCATATAGGTCATTAGCCAGGCGACCTCAGTTCAGTAGGAACTGGGGGGTCAGGTTAGAAGGAGTGTCAGTGGCCATCTTTCACCTGCACTGTAACATAGCAACGTGGTCCCTAATTGAAGTAGATATATTTAAGCTACAAAGAACTGACTGTACGTTTTCGGTTCATTGTCAACCCATAGTCTGTTTGATTTTTCATTCACATGCTGGTTAGAACGATGAATATGCATGGACTTCGCTAAAGTGTTCAGTACATAATCACAAAGGTGAGAAGGGAGGTAATTCCCTCCACTTTGACGGGGATTCCCCTACATTCTGTAGGTTGTGATGAAAGAGCAGCCCGCTTCTGTGGGCGTGGTTTAAACGTTATCCGTGAGGACATTCACTTAAGCCAAACGACCCTTAAAACGGGCGTGGCACGAAAGGTATTGTCTAGAGATTTCGTGTATTGGAACAGAGAGTTTAAAGTCAGAACATAATGCCATAATCAGTTCTCGTAGTGTGTCTTGTATGATATTGCATGATCTATGACCTATGGTTGGGCCACACACCATGCAAGAGGTCACGAGTATGATCATGTGACATTCCTTATATGGACTCGTTACTACGAACGCCTCTTGCCCCACAATAATCATAGTTTGAGTCATTTAAGGCAACTTTATCAAATGTCCAGCAGCTGAGAGGAACTCCATGGGGTCGTGATTCTGGTTGTCAGTTGGTCCTTCAGTCTTGTGAGTCTCTGGTCAATCTCTGTGTAGACGGGTTGGCGGACGGGCGCCGTGCGACATCTGCACCAACTTGCTCCTCTCAGCTTTCTCCAAGAGGTTACATTTCAGTTACAGATTCTTCCTTTTTTCATGAATCTAATGTGCCTATTTTTTAGATTCTAAAAGGATTTTAGGTCAAGAGAAGATTTTGTCAAAGGTCACATTAACCTCTGTTCTGATCATATTTTGTTCACTTGTACAGTTTTCTAGGAATGATTTATTTGTAAATTGTGGAAATAGCGAATGTCGATTATTTGGTGACCTTTGTTGGAAACATCATAGCAAGGTGTTACTGCTGATGTCAGGATAAACTCTAAAGAGAAACGAAATTCTAAAACATTGATCATATTTACTAATATGTGGAGCAAATTTGAATCAACCAATCATTCGAGTTTTTGGGAGATAGTAAAGAGAGTTAATGATAATAATAGTAATATGAATTTGTAAAATGTATATCTGACTTAACTCGGAGTGAAGTGAAGGCTTCACAGGCGAGGTATGGGAAAAGCAAGGAAATATATGACAGCAACTTATTTGAGTTTATTATCAATTTAATGTTGTATATGCATTTCGGTTCTATGATTCACCCTTCACCAAAGAAATCATTTTCTTAGAATAAAATGCATAAATAAACACTTGCCTAACCGTATTTACACAAACGCGCGCGCACACGCACGTACACACACACGCACACAATATATGTCCAGGCTAAAAATATAGACTTTTAGTTGAAGACTGTTTGGAAGAAAGAAATTCTGCCTACACATGCTATCTCTTCGACCGTCAACAAATTAGGGCTGAAACTGAAGTAAATGCGGTTTTGACTTTTACATAACCACCCTCCTACCTAAACTTACATGCGTTCTAAAACTATTTCTACCAGGGCCGGCAACATTTATCAAAGCCAGTACAACAATTTGTACATGTCTTTATGCGTTTCATTCATCTAAAAACATTTAAACAACATATGCCTTTAACCTGTTTCATTTTTACCTAAAAAATATCTTAAAATGTGTAAAAACTATTGCCATTTGCGCATTTAAACTAAAATATATACTTTGAAAGTTAAAAGTATACGTTATTTCAAATCAGAACAAGTGACTCTCCAGAATGTAGCTAATGGTCTTACTGACGTATGTGTCCTTCATTGCTGAGGCTACCTTATCCTTTCAGCGAAGAATGGTTGAAGGATTTATACCGGTAAACTCCTTTCCATGTAATTTTGTTGTATATATACAATAACGACTTTAGTGACATCATTATGTTATGAAAACATATTGTATTCTCGTCCATTTGGTCTATTTAGTCAGAGAGGACAGACTCACTGACTTGGTTGACAAATGTCATCGTATCCCAATCGCGTAGATCGATGCTATTGTTGTTAATCACTGGATTGTCTGGTCCAGATTCAGTTATTTACAGACCTGGAATACTGCTTAGCACGGCGTTAACCAACCAGAGACCATATAATAGATTATGATATGGTCTCTGAACCAACATACAAAAAAAATCCCAAAATATTAGACTGACTGACTGACTGACTGAGTTTGGTTTTTGTTACGCCGCTTTAAGCAATATTCCAGCAACATCACGGCGGAGGACACCAGAAATGGGCTTCACACATTGTACCCAAGTGGGGAGTCGAACCCGGATCTTCGGCTACCCCACCGCCCCCAAAATAATAGAACATTCATCTTCATCACCAACAAAGTTGAAAAGAACCCTCTTGCGTGATTTGACTAATTTGAACCTCCTACAAAAGCGACGACAAATCTGAGATTTATTTAATGACACGACCACACACACGCACACGCACACACATACTTTGTGTAAAACTACGTAAAACGTTTTGAACTTGCCCCGCGCCGCGATATCAACTTGTCCATGCGCTATCTTGGTGCAACGTCAGTGCCCGCGTGTTTCAATGACTTGGCAGAATATGTATTAAGGTGATGAGTAGGCACGCTTATCTAGAGGTAAAGTCTTGCTGCAGCAACCTCCAGGTCCATAACAACATGCCTTCACACAGCAAAGTGATCGTCGAACAGCTGTCTTTCCACTGGACCTCCATGACTGCACGTTTAGCCCTACAATCAGTCTAAACAGAGGATATGAATTTATACACAAACGGAAATATACTCATGTTCATATATATAGTCACTAAGACGAATATACACTTGACGCCAAAAGAAACGTTACCCTCCTACCTTTATGAATGATTGAAAAAAATATCAAAGATGTCTTAGAAGGTTTGATTTTATTTACAAGAAAGCTTAAGACCACAGCTTTATGCAAATCACGAAAGAATTCTCAAATGCATTCATATTTAGGTAAAATGCATCTTTTTCAGAGTGAAATTGTCCTATATTCGTCCCTGCCGAAATAAACCAATAATAGTGATTTTGATGTCCAAAAGAAAGGTTGAAATAAAATTCCGCTTTGGGACAATGATCAACCATTTGAAGTCACAAGTTTTCAACTACTATGACAAGAAACCATTGTTGTAGAGTGTGTAAAATTGTAAAATATTCATTCCTATGATTTCAGTCTTTTAAAACATTTTCTGCTGATTTGCATCAGTGAAAACAAGTAAAACGTGTCTGATATTGTGAAAAAATGTTTAGGAACATCTAAAATTATCATTGTTAATTTCTTTGCTTGTAAAGTAACACTTTTCCATTTTCTGTTTACACATAGCAATATCAATCGCCAAAACGCAGCAATATTGAAGCAGTATTTAAGTGAGTGAGTTTAGTTTTACTCAGCACTATTCCAGCTATATGGCGTTGATACACAAGTACGAGAAATATGCCAAATTAACAGCTGAAGGGAGAGAAAATAAAGAACTATTGGGATGGTTCAGATGGGTTCGACATACAATGCTGTTGCCAACGCCCTCGGATGTCACCGTATCACGGTTATAAGACTTATTTAGGGCTTCAGACAGCCTGGGGTCACCGTAGACAGACCAAGAAGTGGACGTGCACGCATCACAACGCCAGCTGAACATAGGTACCTCCGTCATCAAGGAAGAAGGGTAACGTTTCTTTTGGCGTTTAGTATATATATGGGGTCACAATAATTTCGTGTGAGTGTGCGCGCGTACATGCGTCCGTGTGTAGCATGTTAACAGTGTAGATAATGTTGTAAGAAGATTGTCTCTGAAGTCATGTCCAAGTTTTACATGCGGTTAACAATCACTTTATCAAATTATCTTTCACGCGTCCTAATAACATCTTTCTGGTACTGTGTGCTCACCTGAATCCCATGTTCAATCTCGTGTATTTGGCATCTTGCTTTAGTTCTGTGACCTGCTCTGCTTTTCAGACATCCTAGCACCTGTCATGTATCACTAAAAGGCCATTTAAGACTGAAGTACTCCATAAATGAGGGTAAAGCACTTTAATATTTTATTTCTCAAAATATGTTAACGTCTGAATTACATGCTTCCAACCCTTGTCTCGATCTTTCACTCCCAAAAAGGTAACCTTGTCAGTCTACGACACACAGTTTTAACCCCTAGTCTGGTAACATCTTGTAACAAGGTCACGATGTAACATCCTCCACGTGGATGCTGTTGTGATGCAGAGGGTGCGAACCAGAGGAAGCTGAGGAACGACTGTTTTGTTGTTTTACGCGGCACTCAGCAATATTCAACTATACGGTGGCGGTCTGTAATTAATCAAGTCTGGGACCAAACATTCTTGTATCAGAATCGTTAGCATCGATCTACTAAATTGGAATACGATGACAAGACGTGTCAACAAGCTTGGGTTGCTGAAAAACAATATATTCTAACACGGATCTTCACAGGTGTTTACAATGATTTCATTTTCCGTTTGAGACTTTATGTATGCCTCAAATATTTTGCGGAAGAAATATAATACTCGAGGAAAGGGTAGGAAAGCGCCACTTCGCGTGCCAGCTGTGACTGAGATGGGCAGTACAACAAGACGATCACATTGACCAGTTGGAGAGAATAACACTACTTCGCTATTTTATCTCATGTCATATTATGTAATCTCAGTTCAGTAAATCCCTCACTATGTGAAATCTATTCATGTAAAAATTTCATGAGGAACTGTTATAATTTATTCACGTATTCCTTTTTCGCACACCATGTGATGTAACCTCGACCTAGATTTGCCGATATGATTGCGCAATTGGCTTGTCGGGAATACTCGGAATTCTCCGTGAACAATGACTTGTATCTTATTGAATGACCACTGCAAGGTAGGTGGCTCGATCCTCTGGCCGGGCCGTGCCATGCGTGAAAGATGGTACTTGTTACCCTGCCTCAAGGTATAAAATATTGTCATGTCGACTAGAAGTCGGTTACACTTTCATTGCTGTAAACTGTTATAGCGCGTCATGATATCTGGGCATGAATATGACACCAGATATACGGACTTGTTCCAACACGCTGCTATGTAGGTGAAATAACCTTGTGTGTTGTTTCCCATTGCTTCTCCATGCTGGGATACTGAAGACCTGCAAAATCAATATACACATGTATCAAACATAGCTTGACAATCGATCCACGCATGCAGCTGGAATACGATGACATGTGTCAACCAAGTCAGCGAGCCTGACCACCCGATCCCGTTAGTCGCCTCTTATTATAAGTATAGGCTACTGAAGATCAAATCACGGGTCTTTATCAATCTACTGAAATGTTTTTATGGGTTTAAAACTCCCACCAGTACCTACTTGATTACCGCTATATATAATTCCAGCTTTATGATCTGATGGGCTGTCATTGTTTTGTTGATGTGTTTAATGTTATAAATAACTGCGTAATATTCCAGCTGTCTGATACTGCAACTGGATTATATACTGCGAGTGAATGAATCAGACCATGTGACTCTTCCAGCCAATATAAGCAAATGTGAGGCAGTTAACATGAGTGAATGGATATGAGGCAGTGAATATGTGTGAATGAATATAAGCCAGTGAATAAGAAGCAGTGTATAACCGAATGCATATGAGGCAGTGAATATGAGTGACTGGATATAAGCCAGTGAATACGAAGCAGTGTATAACCGAATGCATATGAGGCAGTGAATATGAGTGACTGGATATAAGCCAGTGAATACGAAGCAGTGTATAGCCGAATGCATATGCGGCAGTGAATATGAGTGACTGGATATAAGCCAGTGAATACGAAGCAGTGTATAACCGAATGCATATGAGGCAGTGAATATGTGTGAATGAATATAAGCCAGTGAATAAGAAGCAGTGTATAACCGAATGCATATGAGGCAGTGAATATGAGTGACTTGATATAAGCCAGTGAATACGAAGCAGTGTATAGCCGAATGCATATGCGGCAGTGAATATGAGTGACTGGATATAAGCCAGTGAATACGAAGCAGTGTATAACCGAATGCATATGAGGCAGTGAATATGAGTGACTGGATATAAGCCAGTGAATACGAAGCAGTGTATAGCCGAATGCGTATGCGGCAGTGAATATGAGTGACTGGATATAAGCCAGTGAATACGAAGCAGTGTATAGCCGAATGCATATGAGGCAGTGAATATGAGTGAATGAATATAAGCCAGTGAATACGAAGCAGTGTATAGCCGAATGCATATGAGGCAGTGAATGAATATAAGCCAGTGAATAAGAAGCAGTGTATAACCGAATGCATATGAGGCAGTGAATATGAGTGAATGGATATAAGCCAGTGAATCACCGAAAACCGAAAACTCACGCAGGCACATTGCTTTTACACCGGTAGAATTGACCACCTCTCTTAGTCCTTTTTCCAATGATTATGCTTCCACCAAATAATATAGTCCGTATGGAAAAAAAATTGTTATTCGTAAATGTGTATTAATTTATTATATTCTCTTTGTTGTAAGGCAACACAAATATCCCCATATATGGTACGTACGCTTCTGACAGTCCAAGACGGATGGTTTGACAGAGCAATTTAGTCAGGCATCAGTTACCTCCCCTTTATGACTCGCTTCCCCAGTCACTTCTACGCGAGACGGTTCGCGCAGTTTTAAGAAAGTAAACATGTTTCAACACAATAACAAACGGGTGTGCGTTGGTGTGCCTCGAAAGCTGCATATATATTTTGAATCTGCGATGAATGAGCTTTCAGAAAATACTAAATGTAAGTTTCTGAAAAATATGCACAAAGGTGAAATTCGCTGTTCAATATTGTCAAATTTTGCTTAAATTTTGCACATTTTGGACAAAATTTGACTATCTAATGTTTTCTTGACACGTTTTCATTCATGTCAATCAATAACTTGAACACCTATTAATTACTGTAGCAAATTTTGTTTCATTATTTTCATAAATAACACTTTTAGACGCGTGTTTGTGTGACATGCAGAACTTCCCTGTCTGTGATTAGGCAGTCACGCGAATGAGTGACCCCCTCTCAGGTAGTCACTTGTACGCGTAACGGGGGACCGTCTCGCGTACACGTTACGTCCTCTACAGGTGAATACGAAGCAGTTTATAACCGAATGCATATGAGGCAGTGAATATCAGTGAATAAATATGGGGCAGTGAATATGTGTGAATGAATATGAGCCAAAGAATACGAGGTAGTGTATATGCGCGAATGCATATAAGGCAGAGAATATGTGTGAATGGATATAAGCCAGTGAATACGAAGTAGTGTATAAGTGAATGCATCCGAATATGAATGCCTGAGTACTTGGCAGGTCGACAAGCAAATGGACATGCATAAGCCCATGACAAGAGAGTCCAGTAAACGAACAAATATAGCCCAGTTTGCATCCTTGCCAATACATGTCGGTTTTATCTTCTGAATTATGAGGGGACTGTAACACACATCGACAGTCCAATCAGAGAACATTTTACAAAATCAAATCAAGGCTTCGAAAATGTGTGCGCTTCTGTGTCCAATCCCAAAACATAAGCAGTAGAGTACAGAACTTTTATTACGCTCAGACCGGGATACTAGGCACATATATACAGTTGAAAATACATGGGATGGCGGGATGGTTTACATGGAAGATTGTACAGTTTTCATGATAGTACTGCAAAATATACAAAGTTTTTTGTTTTTGAAAAACACTAAAACACTAATAGATAAACAATTCGTTAAATCTTACCAAACTGGGTTGTTTAACATAATGACTGACTGACTGACTGACTGAATATGGTTTTACGCCGTTTTTAGCAATATTCCAGCAATATCACGGCGGGGGACACCAGAAAAGGGCTTCACAAATTGTACCCATGTGGGGAATCGAATCCGGGCCTTCGGCGTGAGGAGCGAACGCTTTAACCACTAGGCTACCCCAGCGCCCCTAACATAATCACTGGGGATATAAGCGAAGACATATATTTTCGAAACTGTTCGAAGTTTTTAATTAACTCAAGTAATTGTATATTTTTGATGACGTAAGTTTTCGTTTAGCTCGAACGACCCGTGAAGGTCCGGGTAAGAATGAACCTTCAGTAACCCATGCTTGTCGTAAGAGGCGACTAATTGGGATCGGGTGGTGAGACTTGCTGACTTGGTTGACACATGTCATCGGTTTCCCATTGCGCAGATTGATGCCCTTACTGTTGATCACTGGATTGTCTGGTCCAGACTCGATTATTTACAGACTGCCGCCATATATCTGGAATATTGGTGAGTGCGGCATAAAACTAAACCCACTCACTCACTCACTTAAGCTCGAACGACTGAACGCTTATCGCAGTGACGTATCTGCAGTGCTATTTTTATGTGACCCCAGCTGTAAGTTTTGTCACTGCAATGTGTTGTGTTTTTTAATAGTGTGCAATCTGTATGCCTCTGTAATTGTCCGAGGTAGAACTACATTTAACGCGTTTTAACTGTGCTAACCTCTCAATGTGGTTGTTTGTCAGGGGCGAAATCTTAAACCAATTCGTTATCTCATCGACCAGGTCGTCTACAACTGGAGCCATATTTATGAAGACATTTAGAATAAAAGCGTAATATGTTTCCATCACAAGGGGAAACGGAAGCGGTCTCAAACCATCAGGTTGTAAAAAGTGTTCCATGTTTAAAGCATTTTCAGGATGGTGCAGTTGTTGAAAGTTGTGTTTTGGAAACACACACAACTAAATATACTTTCCCAAAAATGAAACGCATATGTGATATTGAAATAAGACATTTCAAAGTTCAAAATTAGTTTCTGATTGTTAAAATATCACCATTATAATGCTGGTTTGTGTACATGGAACGAATGAAGACTTTAATGCACGTTTACGTTCATAAATGTCAACTTGTATCATGAAAATGTCATGGAGAAAACATGGTTCGCAATATGCACGTGCAATTCTGAGAAATCGTGATCAGGGACATTGCCTACATAAGGCCTTTTTGCGTTGAGACGGTCATTAGTCATTTTTGAGCTGAATGAAAGAATATAGTTATATGCCGCAACTCACTGTTGTAAATCGAAACATGGCCATTGGACGTCAGGAGGTTGGGAGTCTCATTCTGCCGTTGCACGTCACTTCAATGTTCACCATAGTACCATCAGTCGTTTATGGGACCGATATCAACAAAACTATTCTATGCAAGAAGTGGTTGACCTCGGATTGCCACTGCAGCGCTGGATAGGTACAGTGCAGTTAGTGGTTTGAGGAGGGTGTCGGCGCAAACCATTTATCATCGTTTTTGAGAAGCTTGGTTTCGAGCCAGAAGACCCTTTTTTTTCCCGGTGCTGCGACGAATACATGGACGGGGCGATGGCCCAGTGATGCAATAACCTTTGATTCTGGAAGCTACAAAACTGGCGATGTGTATGGTTCACTGAGGAATCACGCTTTCTGCTTCAGTGCCATTGTGGAAGGGTTTATGTCTATCGACGTCGATAATGAATTGCCTTGAATTGTGTGTGCATAGGTTGATCGATATGGTGGTGAAAGTGTCATGTTGTGGGGAGCCATATGTTACATGCAGAAATCTAACTTTGTGCGACTTCAGGGCAATGTAAGTGCTATTCGATACAGAGCAGAAATCTTAAAGATTCGAATGGTTCCGATCGTTGTCCTCTAGAGGGAGTTGTTCCAGCAAGATAATGCCAGGCCTCACACAGCATATGCCACTAATCAGTATCTTCGTAATAAGAACATTACAGTACTCCATGTCTTTTAAAATCGACTACACCCGTGAAGACCCATGCTTGTCGTAAGAGGCGACTAACGGGATCGGATTGTCAGGCTCACTGACTTGGTTGACACATGTCATCGTATCCCAACTGCGTAGATCCATGTTCATGCTGTTGATCACTGGATTGTCTGGCACAGACTGGATTTTTTACCGACCGCCGCCATATAACTGGAATATTGCTGAGTGCGGCGTTAAACAACAAACAAACCAAAACCAAATCAACGATCTCATCCCATTCGACCATTTACGGGATAAACTTGGCCGACGCGTACGTGAACATCAACCGGCGCCCCAGACTGCTGCAGGCATTGCAAGAGGAATGGGCCAGAATTCTACAAGGTCGTACTCAGATCTTATTCAGCCCAAACCGAGACGGCACAGAGCAGGTTTAGGGGCTCAAGGTGGCCACAACAGATATTGAAAACAAGGCTCACCCTGAAACGGACGCATTCAGTTCTTGAAGTTTTTATAAGCTATACATATTTACAGACATTTGATCTAAGTAATATTTTGACGTTTGGCTGCAACCGTTATAGAATTACATGTATTATCTCACTTTAACGTCAGCATATTAATTTCTCGAAAATACACCAATGGGTTTATTTTGTGTGGGAGAGTATATTGTAAAACAAAACTACGGATAACGACATACACATGTAACATGTTACAGGGGAAGTATTAAATTGGAACTATGCTGAAAAAGGAAAAGGTTCGACCTGGCTACTGGCATGTGTCTGAGACTCCGGAGGGGAGGATTCAAGACTGGTTGACCCAATGGGACAAGGGTCACTGGGACTTCTACTACACAGAGCCCGGTCCGTAGGTATACATAGGATATATAGAGTAGGTCGGGTACTGGGGCTTCACCTACACGGAGCCCGGCCTGTAGGTATGCACGGGGTAGAGTAGGTCGGGTACTGGGACTTCACCTACACGGAGCCCGGCCTGTAGGTATACATGGGGTTAGAGAAGGTCGGGCACTGGGACTTCACCTACACGGAGCCCGGCCAGTAGGTATACATGGGGTAGAGTGGGAAGGTCGGGTACTGGGACTTCACCTACACGGAGCCCGGCCAGTAGGTATACATGGGTGAGAGTAGGTCGGGCACTGGGACTTCACCTACACAGAGCCCGGCCAGTAGGTATACATGGGGTTGAGTAGGTCGGGCACTGGGACTTCACCTACACGGAGCCCGGCCAGTAGGTATACATAGGGTAGAGTAGGTCGGGCACTGGGACTTCACCTACACGGAGCCCGGCCAGTAGGTATACATAGGGTAGAGTAGGTCGGGCACTGGGACTTCACCTACACGGAGCCCGGCCAGTAGGTATACATGAGTAGGTCGGGCACTGGGACTTCACCTACACGGAGCCCGGCCAGTAGGTATACATGGGGTTGAGAAGGTCGGGCACTGGGACTTCACCTACACGGAGCCCGGCCAGTAGGTATACATGGGGTTGAGTAGGTCCGGCACTGGGACTTCACCTACACGGAGCCCGACCAGTAGGTATACATGGGGTAGAGTAGGTCGGGCACTGGGACTTCACCTACACGGAGCCCGGCCAGTAGGTATATATACATGGGGTTGAGTAGTAGGTCGGGCACTGGGACTTCACCTACACGGAGCCTGGCCAGTAGGTATACATGGGGTAGAGTAGGTCGGGCATTGGGACTTCACCTACACGGAGCCCGGGCCAGTAGGTATACATGGGGTAGAGTAGGTCGGGCACTGGGACTTCACCTACACGGAGCCCGACCAGTAGGTATACATGGGGTTGAGTAGGTCGGGCACTGGGACTTCACCTACACGGAGCCCGACCAGTAGGTATACATGGGGCTGAGTAGGTCGGGCACTGGGACTTCACCTACACGGAGCCCGGCCAGTAGGTATACATAGGGTAGAGTAGGTCGGGCACTGGGACTTCACCTACACACACGGAGCCCGGCCAGTAGGTATACATGGGGTTGAGTAGGTCGGGCACTGGGACTTCACCTACACGGAGCCCGACCAGTAGGTATACATGGGGTAGAGTAGGTCGGGCACTGGGACTTCACCTACACGGAGCCTGACCAGTAGGTATACATGGGGCTGAGTAGGTCGGGCACTGGGACTTCACCTACACGGAGCCCGACCAGGAGGTATACATAGGGTAGAGTAGGTCGGGCACTGGGACTTCACCTACACGGAGCCCGGCCAGTAGGTATACGTAAGCTAGAATAGGCCGGGCACTGGGACACCACCTACACGGAGCCCGGCGCTTAATTATTATCGGTCAGTGCTTGATTACTTCTCAGCACTATTTACACCTGGGTGCTGACTTCCAGTGTACACACATAGCTCACTCCTTAATAGCCTTTCATTCACTTGCTGAAGGAGTAAGAACACATTCCGAAAGGTCGTGTTCCTTATAATACAAAACATGACAAGCCATATGTACAACCTCTCACCTTCATCATGAAATGTTGTTATGATTTTGATGCTGGGAACTTAATCTTTTTTGAGCAGGAATCTGGTGAAATACTTTGAAAAAGTCACTGATGGACGGAAAGGTCTGAAAATCCTCGTTTCCCACTGTGCAACGACCTATGACCTCATCTGGTAAGTTTTTCTGCTGGACATAGTGCCAACTCAGCACTAAAGGCTTCAACACTAAAGGCAAGCATACACCACAGGCATAGAGTGGAAAAACCCATTGTGATTTGAACAATCGTTCATATTCATGGATATGTCTGACTAAAAACCTACCTTGTTACAGTGGCATTTCTAGTGAGAATATGCCGAAATCAACAATTTTCCTGAAGTGGAAGTGACCTTTTCTACAAAGATACCTCGTGTGGTCTTCCATGGTTACAGTCCGTTTGGGTTCAAATGAGAACGATGAATGATTAAATAACTCGAAATAGCTATAAGTGAACAAAACATAAATAAGGCACATGGTCCTGAAACCTCTGTACCCAACAGGATCTGAAATCTGACGTTAAAAAAAAAAAGTAGTTTAAGAAACCATCATGCAATATTGTTCTATTTTCACGCTTCACCCCGAGGGGTGACAAACGGATAGTGGAACAGCGCCGGCATGCACTTCAGGTGCAACGCAGCGCAGCCAGGTGAGATGATCCCTACTTGTCAGGAAACAGCCGCGCTGTTCCACCGACCTTTCGTCACCCTTCAGTGTGAAGCTTGAAAATAGAACTGTTTAACATGATAGTCTCTTAAACAACGTCAGATGTCAGATCCTGTTGGGTACAGAGGTTTCAGGACCCCGGTTGTATTTATGTTTTGTGCACTTATACCTATTTAAGCTATTTAACCATTCCTCGTTCTCATTTGAACCCAAACGGACTGTAAGGCGTGTACAGCTAGACTCCAAGACATTCATGGACAGTGGGATTGGAATGGATTCCCGACCGACTGCAAGACTACTGATGCAACATGGCTATAGTCCGAGAGGTGTAGAAATTACCGTTAGCTCAGTTTTGTCTGCAGTAAGTGTCAGGATGTTATCTGTCATCCATGAGTTGACACAAGTTATACACGATACCATGCTGAGACGTGCCTCTTCTTCTTGAAACCAACCGGCCAACACTTCTTCTTGACGTGCTATGTCCAAAGCAAATCCTTTCATCTGCTGGGAATCAAACCAACAGAGACCACACGTGCGATAATTTGGGATTACACTTTCTTAGTAAAGTACAGATTCTAGTACTTTTGGGGTTGAGTCCCATCCGGGATTCGAACCCACATCCTCAGAGCCAGGCACCAAATCGCCCGCACACAAAGTCAGACGCCTAGACCGCTCACCCACCGCGGCTTCCACTTTGTGTACTTGCGATTAGGTGCCTGAATCTGAGGGTGTGGGTTTCAATCCCGGATGGGACTCAACCCAAAAAGTACTAGAATCTGTACCTTACTACGAAAGTGTAATCCCAAATATAGCATATGTTACATTTGACCACTTTCCAAAATGGCATTGTGTATTTCATGAGTTCGGTCCACATTACAGACTTGTGCAAGTAAACAGCTATGATGTTCTAGTAAACGATTTTACCACAAATGCATTTTAATCTTGAGCTGTTGGTTACGAGTTTATGCTTAAAGTTTTAGTTGTATTTTCATCTAAGGGGCTATCTACGTACGGTAAAGTGTTCTGTTCGGGTTGTTGGGGCAGGGACACTGTTGTACACAACATTACAACTGTACTTACCCCTGATATCGATGTCGTTGTGTGTAGGTTCTGTGAGCGAGGACACACTGTGGTTGGTGTCGATCTGGCCGAGAGCGCCGCACAACGGATCTTCAAGCAGTACAAGCAGAAACCTATCATTGAAGACGTCCCCAGTATCAACGGAAAACTGTACAAGGTATTTGCACAGTCGGGGAAAAGTGCACTACACTACCTATCTGTTTCTCAATTTCAAGCTTTTAAGAAAGATTTCAGTTATGTCTGTGCTAAAAGCGAAGCCAGATTTTTTTTCCAAAGCTTTCATTTCGCCCTCAATGTGCTTTATTAAACAGTCATTCTAAGAATTATGTGTCACGAACCAATTTCCTTATCTCTGCACGCATTAGCAGCACAATATTTAAGCAATATTATCATAATATTAATACAAAACATCTATTCGACAATTACTGAGATACTTGAACTTGTCAGAAATTGAAAAGAAGGTTCAGTGTATTGAATGCAATGTTTTTTTCTTCTGTCGCAGAATGAGACTGGTACCTTCAAATTTTACGCTGGCAATTTCTTCCTGTTCAACGAGTGAGTACTCTGATATAGTGACATTGCGAGGGAGGGAGAGTAAGTCTTTGCTTCTCTTTTATCAATATTTCAGCAATATCAGGGCAAAGACGCAACAGATAGGTTTCACGTTGTACCCAAAAGATAGATGGACATTCGAATAGTTGAAAAACTTTCTTGACCGATATTGATCGTATTAGGCCATGGCTTCAGCATGTCATCAGCATTGTGACAGTGTCAAGGGTCACACAACAAAATGCTACTCCGTTAGCTCATGGTAACACAATGAAACTTATATTGTTTGGGTAAATACATAACAAGTCTTTACCAAGATTATAAAGAGCATCATACCACTCTTGCTCAGAAGTTGTTTGGTCAAGGTTACAAGATTCAAGCCCCCAGTAAAGCTTTCAAAAAGTTTTATGGAAGACATGTGGAGGGCATTTGATGCAAATTTGACGCAAGAGTGACAAAAATGATGTTCGATGCAATTCCCTATTTTGACTTATACCAAACGTTCTCGAATTATTTCGCGAACACTTGGTATCATCACTATTCCAAAGGATATTCCACTCAGGATATTGTCAGAATTGTACAATCGACTCTGCCTTTACAAGAGAATTCTTGTGGATGTTGGAAAAATATTCTCATAACTACGCTCTCCATATGTCTTCACATTTTCATATTCATCTTTTGGTTGGGAAAGATTGGAAACATTGTCCCCAATTGTGGCCGCCCGCTTACTTTTATCTATATGCTTTTAGTGAGTGATTGACGTTTTATATATTCCAGCAGTATACAAGTAATGGTCTCACATATTGACAATGTGGGGAATCGAACTAGGGCCTTCGGCATAACGAGCGAACGCTTCATCCACTGGGCTACCTCCCCTATAAACATTTAGAGATAATTTGACATGTTATAACATACCTTCTGTTCCAAGGGATTTGGAAGGAACGTTCGACTTTATCTGGGACTCTAAGGCTATGTGTGCTGTTGATATCAGAGACAGACCCAGGTATGTATTCAGTCAACTCGTTTGTTTCATAAGCAATGCTTCCAACAATATGGTCGTTTTGTGATGTCAAAACACGTTGTGCGCCTCAGTAATAATTAGATAATTCTCTGCCATAACAAAGCTTGACGAACTGGTGTCTTTTGCAGGTCAGCATTTGTGTTAAGTGTTGATGTTAGCTTTTTAATGGCAACAAGGCTGCATCAATCTTACGTATGTACTTTATTTTTATAATGTATTGGAACGTACAGAGAATGTATGAGGCCTAAGGATCCGAATAAGCCATTAGAAGTCGTTGCCTGCTCAAAGCATACAAAAGGGCGGAGGATTTTGGATGGCCACGATGTTTCTAACGCTGATTATTACTTTCATGACATTTGCTTCTATACATGTATATTGTTATATCTTGACATTTCCATGGGGAATCGAACCCGGGTCTTAGTCGTGACGAGCGAACGTTTCAACCACTAGGCTATCCCACCGCCCCACTTGCCCTAAGAGCGAAAAGGATGGCGATTTGGGATGACCACAATGTTTCTCTCTGTGATTGAAATAAGGATAATTTCTGCTTACATTTCACGTGTTTAAAGGTTTTCCTATTTAAATCCTACCCGTAGTTAAATATCATTGATATCCGTAGATATGCAGTGTAGTGTACTGCATACATGTAGGTCTTAGTGATCGGTGTGTTTGTACTTCCAGTTACTTGAAGGTTATCCGACGAGTGATGGGACCAAAGTGTACAATGATGCTGGAGTTTCCGACGAACATTTTCCCAGGTAAATTGTAAATACCTTGATGGATATATAACATATATCATGTATGATATATCAATATAATATATCAATATATCAATCAACTTCTTAATTACGATTTTATACTGACATGGATCAATCCGATCAGAGACATCTACCACTTCCCAGTGTACACGTGTGTGTGTGCGTGCGTGCGCGCGCGCGTCTATTTACGCAGTTGGGATACCAAGTCAGCGAGTATTATCACCCGATCCCGCTATTTTCCTCTTACCACAAGCATGGGTTGCTGAAGACCAATTCTCCACAGGCTTTAACCAAGTTCAGATTCACGAATAGAAAACAAACACACAATTATATATTATAGTATATATATGCGTGTAAATCTATTCCTTGTTTAATTTCAGGAGCACCCTACTATTTCAGTGAGGAACAGTTAAAAGAGCTTTACGGTAACGCCTGTATTTCTGAGGATCAGTTTAGAATCTCTTCTATCATTGAAGCACGTGTTGAATCAATGTCATGAATGTCCTACCTAGCTTGATACCAACGTTAGAGTGAGTGAGTGAGTGAGTGAGGAGAGGTTTACGCCGCATTTAGGATTATCCAGCCATATCGCGATCCGGGGACAAAGGTTAGATAGTCGGGGCAATCGAAATACTTTGTTCCTCAAAATTAACAACTGCATGGATGGCAATCTCTTAGTCGTATCCACAAGAGGTTGTAGTTCCGAATCATGCTGTTAAAACTTTGTTGCGAATTTTCCTTTTGTTTTCTGTGTACTGAATCGTGATGGAGGAGAAAAGACGTGATTGATATGATAAACAAACTCGGAGATCTTACACTCGGCAACATATTTTTCTGATATAAAAAAGTCATGACGAACACGAACAATTTATATTTGGATTAATGGTTTTCTTAAAAACTTATATCCCCTAACCACATGGGCATGTGTTGTTTCCCAAGGCGACTACTGCGACGTGAAGTATCAGGACCAATACGACTTCAACCCCTACAGAGCCTACCACGGGGACGTGGACGAAGACGGGAAACCGCTGAAGCAGGAAGAGGCTGTGGAAGAGGAGGAAAAGCTTGTGATCCACTTACAGAATTATTGTCTGAGGAAGAGGGACTGACGTTGGTATTTCTCTGCTAGTTCCAAACAACTCTCATAATCTGACAACGATCCAGAATATAGTCAATTATATAGAACAATTAGTGATAGAAACAAACAATTCCATTTAAATTAAACAGATCCCCGGTGAGCTGGGAGATTCAGAGCCTGGGGAAACCTTGACTTGCTTCTTTTAGGGCTTTTGCATTGCAGAAAGGGCTAGGCAGAAGGAAAATGATGCAGTTCAGAGACTGTGAGACAGACATGATGAGGTCAAGCCCGAGTTGCGTGCTGAGCACATAAGTAGCAGACTTTCAAAATTAATTTGATAACGTATCAGTTGACGAGGCTGTAAGTGAGGTGAGGTGAAATTGGGTTTTACGTCGTGCTTGAGAATATTTCGCTCATATGAAGACGTGCATGTGTGTGTATGTGTATGTGCGGCTGCTTGTACTAGCCCAGACTTAAGCTGGTTTTATAGTGCTAGCCCACTGAGATACCATGCCGCAGTGAAGCATGAATACCCCACTCAGACACATTATACTGACTCCGAGGCGACCAGTCCTTGTTGTACCTATTATTGCCGAGCACCAGGCAGGTCCAAAAAGTACCATAGTTTAACGTCTTTTGGTTTGACGCGGTCGGGGATCGAATGTGATCGACCTTCTGCTCATAGGGCGGACGCTCTAACCACTACACCACGGAGTCGGTCGACGAGGCTGTAAGTCAACTGACGGAGCTTGCTAAATGAAGTCTTTCACTAAGGCCACATCACACCGGTGTGATCTGTATATACTCTGGTGCATAGCAATCTAGTTTTCGGTTATAACCCTAATTAGTAACAAACATGGTACCGAGTCTGTGTAAACGCTGCCTGAACATGGGCAACTTATGGAGATGTGATCAACTATTCTTGCCTCAGCAGGTACATATTGTTCGTTAATCGTATTTGTAGATTGATTTTTTTCGGCTAGATATGCACAGAATGGAACTTGTAATGTGAAAGTATTTTATTTTAATATAATCATAATCAATTGTTACAAAAGAATATGAAGCTTAATATAGCATGGCACACAAACATATTGTCTTATCTTTGTGGTTGACATAACGCACGCCAATAAGGCATTTGTATTGCATAAGAAATATTGCACTGTACGAGAAATAGAGTGAGTGAGTGAGTTTGGTTTTACGCCGCTTTTAGCAATATTCTAGCAAAAATCACGGCGGGGGACACATGAAATGAGCTTCACACAATGTACCCATGTGGGGAATCGAACCCGGGTCTTCAGCGTGACGAGCGAACGCTTTAACCACTAGGCTACCCCACCGCCCCCCTGGAAATGGAGGGGTTAGTTCTAATACACAGGGAGTACTATTGAAATATCATTTTTCAGCTAAATAAAACTTCCTGTTTGTGCTGATTGTGATAGTCTTTACAGAATGCCTGCTCTTTGAAAAGATGGCCAAACAAATGTTCGCTCCTTTTCAAATATTGCTGACATGAACGTTGACCGTCAACCTAAATAAAGATGAGTTGGGCTAAAATATGTCTCATCGGCATTATTCCAGACATATAGTGACGAGATCAAGTCATTCAGAAACATTTATCTCGCATACTGAAACAATCTCAAGAGAATGAGTGAGTGAGTTCTGTTTTGTGCAACGTTTGGCAATAATCAAGCTAAGAATTGGCTTCAGTGAATGAAGAATGAGCTTCACACATTGAAGAATACAGGGAAATCGACAAGCCGACCCAATCCAGAAACCACTAGGTTCTTTGGTACAAGAGCTCTTTAAGAGTCCATTATTTAGTATCAATTTACTAACATTGAAATTGCACCCAAACAACAGAACAAAAGTCAGCTTTGAAACATGGAGCCATTAATACCTTGGCGATTTGTTTGGGGCGATCAAAGTGCTAACAAACTGCACTATAGATAGACTGAAGCTATTACGTTTAGTTATATCAACACATCAGGCGACATCTGAGTTATTGTCGGATGATAGAATGTTCCAACTGACACGTGGTGCTGATTTTCCAGCCGCTCCATTCGCCATACAAAGGGACACCACTCTGTTAGTACTAAACTCTCTTTAGCAAATCAACTTCCCAAGGAAGAGGCATTTCACAAATGATTATTACAAGGCAACTGCCGAATATCTGACAACTGACGGTTAAACGACTTAACCGCAAATACCGCGACTCCTTTCTGATAGTTTTTGCCAAATCTCCTTTGGCATTTGTGTATACAGGAGTGAGTGAGTAAGTGAGTGAGTTTGGTTCTAAGCCGCTTTAAGCAATATTCCTGCAATATCACGGCGAGGGACACCAGAAATGGGCTTCACGCAGTGCTCCCATGTGGTGAATCGAACCCGGGCGTGACGAGCGAACCACAAGGCTACCCCACTGCCCCGAATGTACAAGAACTGTATTTTATGGACGATGTTCAGATGAAGGGGTAAGAAAGTACTCCTAAACGTCGGGTGTCCATCCATTATCAGAAACCTGACGTCAATGACTCGTGTGTACTCTAGGGCGAGGTCATGGGGAAGTGATTATGCCCCACAGCGCTGGTGTTAGTTGTGACGTCACAGAACTTCAACCGTGCCCCCCCCCACCCCCACCCCCCCACCCCCACCCCAACATGCTATACAAGACGCTGATGGAGTTGACTGAGCGGTGTTACATCCGTGTGAGACAATAAAAGTGGAATCGAAATCCGATATCCTGGATACCCTCTTCGATATCCCAGTCATCCTCAGGGACGTCATAGTCATGCTCTGCGACTTTGACCACGGTAAACTTGTTCCCTAAAACAGAGTCACACAGTTGTTTTTGAAAGAGCAAAATCTATAGGACAATTATCCAAACTATACGTCATCACGGATAAGTGTCCACCGAAACAGGTTATCCATATGGATTACGTGACAAATAACCCCAGGAAAACTCCATAAATCATGTTATTATCTTCTTTGCATTATCAATAGGTATAGCATCAAATAAAGCGCAGTTACTTTATTCCAGTAGAAATACTTTATAAAACAGTAAACATAATACTTTTGAACATTTTATCTATAGAAATATTTTACCAAACACTTCCGGGACATCTTCGATGTGGAAACTATAGGGCGGACCTGTAAGCACAGAGAAAGCATTGAGTGTGCAGAATGAGAAAATATACTCATGGAAACAAATAAGGGAACACATGAAAATACAAGTGTTCCTTTATTCTTTTCCAGGTTTCTTCACAAGGTATAGTATGTATTGCACTGTGAGTGAAATTCTGAAAATAAATAAAGGAACACTTGTACATTCATGTGTTCCCTTATTCGTTTCCATGAGCATATATCCATCCAGATTTGCGTGTTAAAATATTGTAATTAGTGAGAAGATAATTATTATTATACTGATATTGAGGTATTGTTTTTTTTATAATATTACATTTATTACGAACCTTGGACATCGGATAATCGAATTGTACTGTAACCATGTGGAGAAACAAACCCAGATGTTTGGCATGACGAGCTATCGCATTCTCCACAAGGCTTCACCCTGATACACTCGTATTTGTATGGCCTCGAAGTATTTAATGACAGATTGTATTGAATCATGAGATTGTATTGAATCTGATATGCATACCTTCAAATTTCGTTTTGTCAAAGACCAGTGTCTCGAGCAAGTAGACGCAGTTTGGTTTGAGCACGCTGTTAATGGCGGTCATATACCTGAAGAGAGAAGGGCGATATATGTCGACCAATACAATGTCGGAAATATATTCTAGTTTAGGGTTAGGAGTATAGCCGAAGGAATAGCGGAGTGTGATTCTGTTACATCAAATCTATTTAAAGGTCACCGTACTCCATAAATATATGGTGACTTGAGACGCCCTTTGCAGCGTCCTTGCATAGGATACCAGTATCTCCATATGCATCTCGTGCCGCCTCTTTTGGGTAAGTGAGCAAAGTTTGGTCGACGCCGGTTTGAACGGTATTACAGTCATATTACGACGTGTTAGGGAGTGTGTTTCAGGTTTATGCCGCTTTTAGCAATATTCCCTCAATATCACGGCGGAGGACACCAGAAATTGGCTTCACGCATTGTACCCATTTGACGAACCGAACCCGGGTTTTCGGACGTGACGGGCGAACGCTTTAACCACAAGGCTACCCCAACCCCTTACACGGCGTGTTAACTTTGGTGGAAAGACACACGGGATACTGGTCTCATTACAAATCTATATAACATTTTTGTGAATGGGATAAGAATCCACCTCCACAGGATTCTGGCACGCCCAAGGGAGGCAAGTCTGCTCAGCCAGCGAACTGCATCACCTTAGCCGTTCAACCGGCCTGAACACTGGCGTGGTTCGATTCTCATATTGGATCAAACTGGTATTACTGTGTCAGTCTAAAAATATATAAAATAAAGTCATAACTCCGTATAGTCGAGTTGTATGGTATAATGTATGCATTTTACCGGTCTCTGTCTCGAACATCGATAGAGCCAAGTGACCCGGTGTCCCACACAACATCAAACAGACCCTCCAGGTTTCTGAAACATATATAGATGTGTGACAACAAATTACTAACGTGGAACCGTATATGCTTGTGAAAAAGGGTTGCAGGTTTTATCCTGACCTGGAAGTGAGGGGGGTGAGCTCGGTTTAACGCCTCCTTTAACAATATCGCTCAATTACATCCAGGTCGTCCTTGGTGAAATACGACGACACGGGTATTTTGCTGACAAAACGTCGAAATAAGCAGGGCGAACAGAGAATCGAGCTCTCGATCTTATGCTCCTGACGCAACAAAGGGACGCAACTCTTAAAAAGACGATGATGACAACCTCGTCCATTCCTGCTGGGATATCCAGTGACCTTGCACACCTTTCCAAACAGACCTTTGTCAGCGGGTCTGTTTGGTCCAGGTTCGAATCCTCAAGGTCAGTATGGGGTCAAAATATGTTCATGTACTCACTTAATAGTACAAAGTCTTTAAGTTATATCTTCTGTGTACGATCTTTCCTGAAAACTAGCTTTACGTATGAAACCATATTGCTGAATTATATGGGATTATATATCGACAGAGAGCAGGGATTATGTGAAAGTTCTTAATATACTTACTCGTTAAAATCGTAGAAGTTGATCACGTAGAATTTGAGGGCACCATCCGTTGACTGTCAACATTCGAAACATTCATATCAGCAACTTGGAAAGGTTGTTTTAAAAGACCTTCCGCATCAGATAGAAATGCAAATATCCATTGATTTATCTCTTACATATCTTTGTTGATTTAAGCAGTAAATACTTCCTGGCTCGAGGCTCGAGTGAGTGATTGAGTGAGTGCGTGAGGTTTTTATTCGAACGGTATCACGGCTGGGACACCAGACCAACGAAGACATTAACCGTCAGGCTAAGTCTCCTGCTCGAAAAGTCTTTGATAACACAAGACTCGAAGGAGTGAAAAAGACAAGAGCTTTTCTTCCAGATTGTAGAGAAAATGTGCCGTCATAATGGCCAGCTTTTGGTTGGTTGGTCTCACCCTGTAATACTCCAGCTATATGGCAGCTGTAAATAATCGAGCCTGGACCAGACAATCCAGTGACCAACAGCATGAGCATCGATCTACGCAATTGGGATACGATGACATGTGTCAACCAACTCAGCAAGCCTGATCACCCGATCCCGTTACCTCTTACGACAAGCATTGGTTACTGAAGATCAATTCTAACCCGAATCTTCATGGGTCAATATCCAGATGTACTGAACGCTTGGTCGCAATAAGCTGAGGAAAGGGCGTTAGGTTAACTTTGTTTTTTTTGGGTTCCAACAAGGAAATACAACGAACTGTTGGAGATATAAAGTATCTGTAGTGTGTCATATGTTGCCATAGTGACGCCAAGTACCTGATATAGTTTCCCCTGCACGTGCGGAAGGTCATGCACTGTATGGGGGATCTGGTTCCGGTCAAAGAACAGTCTGGCCGCCACCTCGGAGATGTCCACGCCAACCACGCTGTGGCTACGCTCAACAAACCTACAACATGAGCTGTGGCTTTACTGCTTCTGGTCTGTACAATCTGATTAGGTCAATACATAGTACACGTACGAGCGTTAAGTCACACTACAGTACGTATTACGATCATTAGATCTCTATAAGTACACATTACGATAGTTCGGTCTCGATGCAGTACGTATTTTGATCAAAAGGTCGCGATAAAGTACTTCCTATGGAAAGAATGCAATAACGTACAATCATAATCACAATACAATTAGTATTACGTCACAATACAATACGGTACGTGTTACAATCATGACATCACGATACACAAGTATTATGCTTGTGAAGTCACGACATATAATACAAGAATGAGATACAGCCACCGTGTCCTTGATGAATATGAATATTGAATATTGAAGAGTCTGAAATGTATTTCTGATGAAAATGTACCGGGGGGCATCGTATTTACGATTGGTCAGCATGTGTTCAGACGAACCCTTATTCGTGTTACGTTCACAGATGGACGATCTCCCGATAGTTCGTATTTAAAGTGACGCCACAAAGGTTCTTAACTCACCACTTCATATCCAGACATGTTCCACACAGAGGTACCAGGATTCTCAGGTGCGGGCGTCCATCAGTCAGGTCATGGAAATGTTCCACCAGACATCTGGACCACATAAAGAGTGTACAGTGAAATCACAAGTCCCAAAAAGTCTGATAAAGGTCGCAAATAATACTTGTCTACAAATCATGACGTCTATGAATAAGGTGATGCCTGCCCCCTCAATCTGGGCTGCTGTTCTAAGCGATCATAGTTAACAGCTTTAGAAATCAACGTCGGTCCTTAGGCCCGAAGCCGACTGAAAACCACTCGGACCCACAGCTTTTGTTTTCTGTAGGTCCTTATGGACAAGAGCATTTTCATCCCCTGTAACTAAGAGTAATATTTTTCAGAAAATATCTATCATGGAAATTACTTATATTGTAGCTAAAATATAGGGCCTGCACACTCTTCTCAGGACTCCCAACCTTTTATTGTTCTGAGTCCTTAGGGCCTGCAGCCTTTCAGGGTTAAAGGCAAACACTTTTAGTTTATCGATCATAATAATCGAATGATATCATTACTTTGCCGAACAGAATATGGACCAGAAACGATAAAGGATAACGGTCGTGAAGAATATAGTTTTGAATAACCGATTGCAAAGACAAGGCTCGATGCCTTTAACGCAGGAAGATATATATACTTGCTGACAAAACTATCAGCAAAGCAAACATGCTGTGAAGATGGTGGGCAACTTACGGGTCCGGGTGTGTATCCACCAGCGATCCCAGGGTTCCATCGTCCCAGGATTTCAGCCAATCATCAATGCGTTGCTGTGCGTCGTCTACCGAGACAACGGATTGGGAAGATTCATCTGGACAGTTCTCCGTCATCGGGGTCGATTTGGCACCTCACATCTACATTCACAGTGATAACAGATATACTTAACTGGTCAAGCAATGACCCGAGTACAATCATTTTCACCAGTGAGAGAACAGTTATAGAGTGGAAGCCCGTAAATCCAGACGTTAGTGTGCGTCATTGTTCGGATAAATAATATAGATGTCCGAATGAATGCATTTTTGAATTGAATTTGAATTATTAACGTACCTAAAATACCTAAAAATGTATTCGTTCAGCGTTGTATGGTGATATACCTTCAGTTGTTGGCAATCTACCGCCTGTCTTGTCATGTATAGTAAACTTTATTTAATTACTAGTTTTAAACTTATATCTGTGATAATCTAGTTGTTTTACTGTCCTTTGTTGACAGGGTTTTTATGATTTACCTTGAATTATTATAATTCTATAACTTGATTTGGTCACGATATGGTTGAAATAAGGCTGATGTGACTTAAAATCTTAACTCACTCACTCACCTCACTGTTCAACGCTGTCTAGACGCGTGGCTTTTTGGATCACTGTGGTTAACAAGATTACACCATGTAAAGCCTACGGTAAACTGACGTTTATCCAGTTGAGCCGAGTTCGGGGTGTCTATATCACCATAACTCACACCGAAATTTGACCATGTACCCGTGGCTTTGGATACCAGGGTCTAGATTTTCGAAGTTCTCTTAGCGCTAAGATAGTCGTAAGTGCCATACATTAACATTAACTTACGACTATCTTAGCGCTAAGAGAGCTTCGAAAATCTAGGCCCAGACTGACTTAGATCGTTGCTGTTTTTGTGCCTTACCCGTTTCACCGAAGTGTCATGAAGATGTGATGGTTTTTCCAAAGTATCACAGTGTGAACAACGGTCATTTTTATTTTTTAGCCATAAGCAGATTTAACACACGTTAGTTTGTCTGACTGTCGGTACTACACTAAACCGACCTGCCTTCTTGCGGGGCCGACACCCTGTGAGTATATCCTTCAGCCCAACGTGTAAAAGTATTCCCGTGAAGGTCCGGGTTAGAATATTGATCTTCAGTAACCCATGCCAATCGGGATCGGGTGGTCAGGCTCGCTGACTTGGTTGACACACGTCATCAGTTCCCTGCTGCGCAGATAGATGCTCATGCTGTTGATCACTGGACTGTCTGGTCCAGACTCGATTATTTACAGACTGCCGCCATCATGATGGCTGGAATATTGCTGAGTGCGGCGTCAAACTATACTCACTCACTCACATGTAGAAGTCAGCACAGGAATTTCACACTACACAGGCATAGGTTGCGAAAATTGATGAACACATATCGGATCAAACCATCTGTTAAGTAAATCTGATCTTTGACTTTTCCTCTGAGCACGGACACTGCTGTACAAACTTGGGTCCTGTTCGGAATACTTCCCCGAGAGGATATTTCAGTATAAGCACAAATACGTTGAAAGGCGCGAATAGCGTACGTCGAGGTAGGCAACCTCCGGGTGGGCTTTTAGTATTTACCTCTCCCATCAAAGGTTAAAATATTTATGAATTATATAAGGCTTCCCTCTATTATGTAAACTAAGCATTATATACTCATGCCAATAATGGTTGTCACCCCCCCCCACCCCACCCCCACACCACACACACACACACCCTCTCCAATTAAACAAATAGAAGGGGGTGACAACCATTATTGGCATGAGTATAATAAGGTCATCATCACGAGGCGCAACTTTAGTCGTTAAAACGATGTTTCATATACAATTGAGGCCCAAGTTGTGCAAATTTAAATAAAAACACGAGGTCATGAAACTACGTCTCCCCACTGTGAACCTGGTCACAGTGACAATGACACACTATAAACCAAATCACCGAGCCTCACCTCCAAATACATTTAGTTGCCTCAACCAATGTGATGACTGGGGACGTATCCGACCAGGAATTTCCACGAGGTACCTGTTATAAAAATAAAGCAAGGATATGTTGAGGTACATAAGAGAACGCCAAATATCTTAAATTATTCCTTACCTTCAAATAAAACACCTGCCCTAAGGGACCGTTCATAATTTATACCAGGGGGTTGAGGATGATTATATTTTATGGAGAAGCATGTATAATGTGAATGACACCCCTAAATTTATGTAAAAGCAAGTGACTCCCCTGCATGTCATGTATGTACAAAATCAATGACCCCCTCCCCTTCCAATATTTTTAAGCATAATTTTAAAATATTTTTAGGTACAAAATTGCTGACCCCCAAACGTGTACAAATTTGATGACCTCCCTACCTCCCCAGAACAAAATGGGTGAACCCCCTTAAAATCATCTCTCTCTCACACTCACTCACTCACTCACACACACACACACACACACACACACACACACACACACACACACACACACACACTCACTCTCTCTCTCTCTCACACACACACACACACACACACACACACACACACACACACACACACACACACACACACACACACACACACACACACACACACACACACACCACCACCATCACACCACCACCACCCAGCCATAAATTATGAACGGTCCCTAACATCGTCAGATCGCTGTTGCCTTTCACTCACGTGAGCGCCTCAAACGTTGCTCCACTAATACCCAGCTATAATCCCAGGTCCTTCATCGTCAAATAACATCTCTGTTCAGATTCCACAAGGAAGTATTATCACGCAGGAAGGAAATTATGAGTAAACAGGAAGAACGTTCTGTGAAGTCACCTATTTTCGCTATCTATAAACTCACAAAGCTATCTCCATGACCGGGCTATTCAATGTTTAAAGAGTGGTCTGAAATGTTGAAAGGATTCAACGCTGTTAAGATATAGTGACTGAGAGAGTTGGGATTTACGCCGCTTTTAGCAATATTACAGCAATATTACAGCAATATCGCTGCGGGGGACACCAGAAATGGACATCACACATTGTACCCATGAGGGGAATCGAACCCGGATCTTCGGCGTGAGGAGTGAACGCTTTAACCACTAGGCTACCCTACCGCTCCACTGTTAAGATAACCTTTTATAAGACATTTTCAGCTCGTGGAAGACTTTTTTTCTCCATTTTATTGAAATCCACAAGCACAATGAATTGCGTCATCATGGACCACCTTATCCCTCCCCCAGGTTTGAGAAAGATCAGAAAACTCTGACATTGTTTATATTTGTCTATTTACTATTGTTTCATATCTAACTTGGGGGATTTGGGGGGTATTTTTTCAAAACTTAACGAAATAAATCATACATAGTGAATGAATATTGTTTACTGCAGTCATATTCCAACAATCTCACGGATGTAACCTGTTTTAGTCACGGCATAGCTGAAATTTTGCCCATGTGACTATATAATTCACTCACTCCCTCCCTCCACTCCCTCCCTCCCTCCCTCCCTCCCCTCCCTCCCTCACCCACCCACCCTCCCTCACTCACTCACTCACTCACACACCACCCACCCACCCACTCACTCACTCACTCACTCACTCACTCACCCACCCACTCACCACTCACTCACTCACTCACTCACTCACTCACTCACACTCACTCACGGGGGTCTGTACACAAACATGTCTGGATCACAGCACCAGTGTTTGAATTAAGACATGAACAACGACCAGCGAATAACAGATCCACTTTAACAGGTTTACGACCACCGTGGAATTCTCGGGACTCCTTCTGTTCCTGAATGAATTACGCATTTCGTGTAACCATGGTTACAAGTGTGTTTGTACGTACACACAGAAAACGTTTAATTAACCTACAAAATCAGGTCATATTGATTTTAAGTATTCGTTCAATTTAAAATTGAAACAAAACTATACATACGCGCAGTTGTTCACTGCAAAACTGAAAATCTAAGTTAAGACAAAGGAATATACACGTATTTGCTGGATTAAAATAAAAGGGAGAAAAAAATATGTCAGGAAGCATTATTTCACCTGTAAGAATTATGAGTGAATCACTTTCGATAATTTCTAATCACAACTTTTCTGTGCCGAGTATATTTTCCATTGCTATCTCTGTGCACTATACGGCAATAGTTCACCCCGTTATAACACACCCACTATACCCGCCGTGCGTTATGATGAGACTATTGACCTCACCTTGCTGTGTCAAGTGTGTGTGTAACACACGGGATAGGAGCGGCGTCAAAGCAAGAGTTATCATAGATGTGTGTGGATGAAGAGAGGATCTGTGCTACAGCCCACGAGGCACAGGTCGTCATGAAACCTATCACATTTTTCTTTTTGTAATTTAGATGATGAGTTCAATAGGTGTGAGAATACGTAGCATCTGTCCTACCTTGATGACGATGAGCCTGACAATTCACCCTCTCTCACAATCCACGTATGTCCGTTGTGCGCATGAACACAGTTACCGTTAAGTATGAAATAAGTGTCGCGTTGTATATGCAGATTCGTAACGGTGTTCTGACTGATTTTATCATTGAAGGACGAGTGTGGTTAGAAGGCTGCAGCCTGTGTCTCTCTGTGTGTACATGTATGTGTTCGCTCTTATACTATTCCTGACTGATTTCGGTTTTATTGTTCTCGACCACTAACATGCATTACTTCAATCAATGACTATTCTGATCTTGGCTTGACCACGAGGTCAGGTGTCCGAACTTGATTGTAATGTGCAGATGGTGGTGGAGTATTATTCCATCCCATCCCACAGGATACCACGGTGGTAGCAGTACTTGAAGGTATAACGGCTGGTACGAGTTTGCCTGGTTGTACTTGTGTAGCGTCAGACTCCGTTCATCACCTGATCGACCCTTGAAGGTCCTTCATTGGTCTTCAGCGACCCATGCTTGTAACGGGATCGGGTGGTCAGGCTGGCTGACTTGGGTGACAAAGGTCATCGTATTCCAATTGCGTAGATCGCTGTTCATGCTGTTGATCACTGGGTTGTCCAGACTCGAGAAACAGTATAAGATCAGGTTAGATTAATCTCGACAACTGTTTGTTCCACCTACATGTATTTTCTGCAAATATAAATACATTCTTATCTGTACCCGCCGTGGTATAGCTGGAATATTGCTGAAATAAGCGTAAACTCTACTCACTCACTCACTCACTCACTAACTTATTTGTACGTCATGCTTTCTATTGCTACATTTAGAGGCCCGTGTGCAGACATCGACGCGATGTGTGCTTTATAGAACATGTTGAATTAAATTCCCCAGTCTGTTTTGAGGTTCACTGGTGTACGAGTGCTTATGTAAACAATCATGTATGGGTGTCATTCGGGACTATATCATAAGTTAACTGGGACCGCTTCGAAATTTGCTACAGTGACGGTCTAAGTTTATTTTAAACATAGAGCTCCGGAAGCAAGCTATCGTTGCAGACAGCTTTTGCTAGAGACATATGATCGGTGGTTCGAATCCCGATTCGTCCTTGAATATATTTCTTGGTTTGTCAGCTCCATATATACTTGTGCTCGTGACGTAACGTAAAAGTGTAACATCAGCATCACTTTTGATCGGAAGAAATTTCAGAGTGATTAACAAATATAAAATTTTTCGACACAACCCCCCAAAAAACATTGTTGACAGATGTTCTTTTAAATAGATATTTAGGTTCAGTTGTAAATAAAAACATATCTATCGCAGCTGAAAAAATATCCAGTGTCCATACAAAATCACCGTGAAGTTGTGTAGCAAATTCTTGTTCACGATTAAGGATTGTTTGTAGAAGTGATTCTCCTTCTTTGTCATACTTTATACAAGATATTACATGGTGTTGCTCATCTTCCAAGGCGTTACATGTTTCACAGAGCGGGCTTCGATGAATGTAAACCCTACAACTAATTATAATGTGAACAAAGAATGTATTCACAAACAGAAATATATACATGCTCATGATTAAAGTCAGCCAAATACTAACTCAAATCTTGGGCATAGTTTGTCACGTTTTGATATTTTATCAGTCGAGTTAAATATTTCATCATATGTATACTTTAAGACAATAAGACAAAAAATGTTCAAAAACAACGTGTATTTTGTAAAAATTAGAGTCATAATTAGGTCAAGAAATATACGTATCTAACTCAAAACTACATAAATACAAAAATCCACATGAAGCCTAGAGCTAGTATAATTCTAAATTTCAGCTTTAGTTACAGGTTTAATTACGAATTTTAATTAGATAACATTATTTCTGGAGCTAAAATTAATGCCATGCAAGTCACTTCCTGCTGGTACGTGGTACGGATGTATATATTTCTATGGCAATGCCTACCAGTGACCAATTTCAACATTTCAAGCCTTGTGTAGCTGGCACCTTGCTTTAGTTCTGTGACCAGTCCTCTCAGGAGTGTGTGAGTGAGTGATCATGAGTATGGGTTTACGCCGCTTTTAGCAATATTCCAGCTGGGGACACAAGAATTGGGTTTCACACATTGTACCCATGTGGGGAATCGAACCCGGGTCTTCGGCGTGAGGAGCGAACATTTTAACCACACAGGTACCCCACCGCCCCAGTCATTACTGGACCTGTCATGTATCTCTATAAGGTCATAAATTGACTGTCTGACTGAGTTTGGTTTTACGCCGCTTTTAGCAATATTCCAGCAACATCAAGGCGGGGGACACCAGAAATGGGTTTCACACATTGTACCCATGTGGGGATTCGAACCCGGGTCTTCGGCGTGACGAGCCAACGCTTCAACCACTAGGATACCCCAACGCCCCGTCATAAATTGAGAGTGGGTGTATTTCAATATTGTATTTCTTAATAATACGTGAACGCTTTGGTCACGTGATTCAAGGTTATTTGTGTACATTAACACTCACACGTACTCTGGCTAAACAAATATATCCATCACGTTTAACAACACGACAGATTTGACTATTCTAAGCAATGTCATCGTATAATGTAAATGAACTTTGTGTGAGGATTCGATGTATATTTCGAAAATTAAAATGTTAGAATAAAAGCTGATTCATCTTTTATCAAATCCCCATCGTTTACCACAAATATTGTTTTACTATAACTGTACTGAAACTGGTTTGGCTTCAGCGATATTATATATTTTCTGCTTTTGATACGCTCCCTCGCCTCTCTCTTGACAGCCGGGTAGGAAATCGCCCCTTCAAGTGTCTGCAGTCATGCGCAGTACAACACGACGATCACATTCAGAGGTTGGGGAGAATAACGCTGCTTCACTGTTTTACCTCAGGTCAGTAAATCCCTCACTATGTGTAATCCATTCGGGCTCCTCTGATGACGAACTGGGTAAATGTGTTTACATATTAATCGTCCGGACATGATGTGTAATGTCACCTTGACATTGATGTGCAGACGTGACTGTGCTAGGGGTCGGGAAGGCTCGGTATTCTCCAGTCTCTTGATTCATTCTTGAATGAGCAGCGGCAGTGCAAGGTAGGTGCTTCCATTCTCTGGCCGAGCCATGCCATACGTGAAAGATGGCACTTGTTGTTACCAAGCCTGGTTCTCGGCGTTAACGAGTAACAGTTTTTTGGTTTATCCATATTAAAGTACGTCATGATATCTCTGTGTGCGTGATTATGAAACTAGATACACGCGTCTATGTGGGTGAAATAATCTTGAACCGACCTCAAACGCTGTTACATGTTGCTTCCAAATATTGAGAACATACTGAAGATTTGCGATATGTCAAACACGTGTTACAGCTCTAGCACTCTTCAAATAACACGAGGCGTTGTGGGGTACAAAGATAGCTGTGTTTATTCTCACGGTACAACTTTGTGGGTCAGGGTGTACAGTTCACACACAGTTTACATAGTACGACAGATATTACAAGGTAAGGCGGCGAAGTTAGGCTAACACTTGGGCAGTAGATGGGCTGGATTGGCTGGCCAGCGTTCGTCCTTTGTCGCAGGCTCACCTTTCTGCTGGTCTGTCCACGCCCTTTTCGCTGTCTGTCGGCTCCTTCACTGTACTCTGCAGTCTCCCTGTAAGGCAGATGAACAACGAATATCTAGGTGGGCGATTCCCATGGACATAATCTGCTGGTCATATTTTGACGCGCTTGACCTATCTCGGACGTGTACACGATAAATAGTGTTACACATGGCTTAACGGTCAACTGCAATTACCACAGGATTAACTCGAGTGAGTGAGTGAGTATGGTTTTACGCCGCTGTTAGCAATATTTCAGCAATATCACGACGGGGGACACCAGAAATGGGCTTCCCATGTGGGGAATCGAACCCGGGTCCTTCGGTGTGACGAGCGGACGCTTTAACCACTATGCTACCCCACCGCCCCGGATTAATTTTACAAACCCCAGTAAATACAGTAACGTGTTCGCTCCTATACATAATCTAGTGTTATGATCTGATGTAGAGACATTGTTTTGTTAGTGTGTTAGGATTATGAACTCCTGAATAATATTGAAGTTGTATTATACCATGAGTGAAAGCCCTGATAATGTGACTCATTCAGTGAATATAAGCCTATTGACTGACTGACTGACTGAGTTTGGTTTTACGCCGCTTTTAGCAATATTCCAGCAACATCACAGCGGGGGACACCAGAAATGGGCTTCACACATTGTACCCATGTAGGGATTCGAACCCGGGTCTTCGGCGTGACAAGCCAACGCTTTAACCACTAGGCTACCCCACCGCCCCCTATTGACATGAGGTGGTGAATATGAGTGAAATAGTATAAGCCGGTGGGAATAAGAAAATTGAGGTAAGGCAGTGAACATAAGTGAGTGAATGTGAGGCAGTGTTTTAAGTGAGTGAGTCAGTTTAGTTTTACGCCGCTTTTAGCAATATTCCAGCAATATAACGGCGGGTTACACCAGAAATGGGCTTCACACATTATACCCATGTGGGGAATCGAACCCGGATCTTCAGCATCGAACGCTTTAACCACTAGGCTATCCCACCCAATCAAGCGACTATATATGAGTCAGTGAATAGGCAGTGCAAACAATACGCACATATTGACTGTCCAATCAGAGAAGGTTTTACAATCATTTGGAGTAAAATATAATTTAATAACGAAAATAACGGCAATATATGTTACAGGGGAACTATTAGATTGGAACTATGTCGAAGAAGGAACGTGCGCGACCTGGCCACTGGCATGTGTCTGAGACTCCGGAGGGAAGGATTGAAGACTGGCTGACGGAATGGGAGAAGGGTCACTGGGACTTCACCTACACGGAGCCCGGTCCGTAAGTATACGCAGGGTAGAGTAGGTCGGGCACTGGGACTTCACCAACACAGAGCCCGGCCTGTAGGTATACATAGGGTAGAGTAGGTCGGGCACTTGGACTTCACCTACACGGAGCCCGGCCAGTAGGTATACACAGGGTAGAGTAGGTTGGCCACTGGGACTTCACCTACACAGAGCCCGGCCTGTAGATATACTTAGGGTAGAGTAGGTCGGGTACTGGGACTTCACCTATACGGGGCCCGGCCTGTTGGTATACATAGGGTGGAGTAGGTCAGGCACTGGGACTTCACCTACACGGAGCCCGGCCAGTAGGTATACATAGGGTGGAGTAGATCGGGCACTGGGACTTCACCAATACGGAGCCCGGTCTGTAGGTATACATAGGGTAGAGTAGGTCCGGCACTGGGACTTCACCTATATGGGGCCCGGCCTGTAGGTATACATAGGGTAGAGTAGCTCCGGCACTGGGACTTCACCTACACGGAGCCTGGCCTGTAGGTATACATAGGGTAGAGTAGGTCCGGCACTGGGACTTCACCTTCACGGAGCCCGGCCTGTAGGTATACATAGGGTAGAGTAGGTCCGGCACTGGGACTTCACCTACACGGAGCCCGGCCAGTAGGTATACATAGGGTAGAGTAGGTTGGGTACTGGGACTTCACCTACACGGAGTCCGGCATGTAGGTATACATAGGGTAGAGTAGGTGAGGCACTGGGACTTCACCTACACAGAGTCCAGCCAGTAGGTATACATAGGGTAGAGAAGGTCGGGCACTGGGACTTCACCTACACGAAGCCCGGCCAGTAGGTATACATAGGGTAGAGTAGGTCTGGTACTGGGACTTCACCTACACGAAGCCCGGCCAGTAGGTATACATAGGGTAGTGTAGGTCGGGTACTGGGACTTCACCTACACGGAGCCCGGCATGTAGGTATACATAGGGTAGAGTAGGTGAGGCACTGGGACTTCACCTACACGGAGCCCGGCCTGTAGGTATACATAGGATAGAGTAGGTCGGGCACTGGGACTTCACCTACACGGAGCCCGGCCAGTAGGTATACATAGGGTGGAGTAGGTTGGCCACTGGGACTTCACCTACACGGAGCCCGGCCAGTAGGTATCCATAGGGTTGAGTAGGTGGGGTACTGGGACTTCACCTATACGGGGCCCGGCCTGTTGGTATACATAGGGTGGAGTAGGTCAGGCACTGGGACTTCACCTACACGGAGCCCGGCCAGTAGGTATACATAGGGTGGAGTAGGTCGGGCACTGGGACTTCACCAATACGGAGCCCGGTCTGTAGGTATACATAGGGTAGAGTAGGTCCGGCACTGGGACTTCACCTATATGGGGCCCGGCCTGTAGGTATACATAGGGTAGAGTAGGTCCGGCACTGGGACTTCATCTACACGGAGCCTGGCCTGTAGGTATACATAGGGTAGAGTAGGTCCGGCACTGGGACTTCACCTACACGGAGCCCGGCCTGTAGGTATACATAGGGTAGAGTAGGTCCGGTACTGGGACTTCACCTACACGGAGCCCGACCAGTAGGTATACATAGGATAGAGAAGGTCGGGCACTGGCACTTGAACACCCACACGGAGTCGGCCTGTAGGTATCCATAGGGTGGAGTAGGTCAGGCACTGGGACTTCACCTACACGGAGCCCGGCCAGTAGGTATACATAGGGTGGAGTAGGTCGGGCACTCGGACTTCACCAATACGGAGCCCGGTCTGTAGGTATACATAGGGTAGAGTAGGTCCGGCACTGGGTCTTCACCTATATGGGGCCCGGCCTGTAGGTATACATAGGGTAGAGTAGGTCCGGCACTGGGACTTCACCTACACGGAGCCTGGCCTGTAGGTACACATAGGGTAGAGTAGGTCCGGCACTGGGACTTCACCTACACAGAGCCCGGCCTGTATGTATGCATAGGGTAGAGTAGGTCCGGTACTTGGACTTCACCTACACGGAGCCCGGCCAGTAAGTATACATAGGATAGAGAAGGTCGGGCACTGGGACTTGAACACCCACACGGAGTCGGCCAGTAGGTATACATAGGGTAGAGTAGGTCGGGTACTGGGACTTCACCTACACGGAGCCCGACCAGTAGGTATACATAGGATAGAGAAGGTCGGGCACTGGGACTTCACCTACACGGAGCCCTGCCCGTAGGTATACATAGGGTAGAGTAGGTTGGGTACTGGGACTTCACCTACACCGAGTCCGGCATGTAGGTATACATAGGATAGAGTAGGTGAGGCACTGGGACTTCACCTACACAGAGTCCAGCCAGTAGGTATACATAGGGTAGAGAAGGTAGGGCACTGGGACTTCACCTACACGAAGCCCCGCCAGTAGGTATACATAGGGTAGAGTAGGTCTGGTACTGGGACTTCACCTACACGAAGCCCGGCCAGTTGGTATACATAGGGTAGTGTAGGTCGGGTACTGGGACTTCACCTACACGGAGCCCGGTATGTAGGTATACATAGGGTAGAGTAGGTGAGGCACTGGGACTTCACCTACACGAAGCCCGGTCAGTAGGTATACATACGGTAGAGTAGGTCGGGCACTTGGACTTCGCCAATACGGAGCCCGGCCTGTAGGTATACATAGGGTAGAGTAGGTCCGGCACTGGGACTTCACCTACACGGAGCCCGACCAGTAGGTATACATAGGGTGGAGTAGGTCGGGCACTTGGACTTCACGCCACGGAGCCCGGCCTGTAGGTATACATAGGGTAGAGTAGGTCCGGCACTGGGACTTCACCTACACGGAGCCCGGCCTGTAGGTATACATAGGATAGAGAAGGTCGGGCACTGGCACTTGAACACCCACATGGAGTCGGCCTGTAGGTATCCATACGGTGGAGTAGGTCAGGCACTGGGACTTCACCTACACAGAGCCCGGCCTGTAGGCATATATAGGATAGAGAAGGTCGGGCACTGGGACTTCACCTACACGAAGCCCGGTCAGAAGGTATACATAGGGTAGAGTAGGTCAGGTACTGGGACTTCACCTACACGGAGCCCGGCCAATAGGTATACATAGGGTAATGTAGGTTGGGCACTGGGACTTCACCTACACAGAGCCCGGCCAGTAGGTATACATAGGGTGGAGTAGGTTGGGTACTGGGACTTCACCTATACGGGGCCCGGCCTGTTGGTATACATAGGGTGGAGTAGGTCAGGCACTGGGACTTCACCTACACGGAGCCCGACCAGTAGGTATACATAGGGTGGAGTAGGTCGGGCACTTGGACTTCGCCAATACTGAGCCCGGCCTGTAGGTATACATAGGGTAGAGTAGGTCCGGCACTGGGACTTCACCTATATGGGGCCCGGCCTGTAGGTATACATAGTGTAGAGTAGGTCCGGTACTTGGACTTCACCTACACAGAGCCCGGCCTGTAGGTATACATAGGGTGGAGTAGGTTGGGTACTGGGACTTCACCTATACGGGGCCCGGCCTGTTGGTATACATACTGTGGAGTAGGTCAGGCACTGGGACTTCACCTACACGGAGCCCGACCAGTAGGTATACATAGGGTGGAGTAGGTCGGGCACTTGGACTTCGCCAATACGGAGCCCGGCCTGTAGGTATACATAGGGTAGAGTAGGTCCGGTACTTGGACTTCACCTACACAGAGCCCGGCCAGTAGGTATACATGGGATAGAGAAGGTCGGGCACTGGGACTTGAACACCCACACGGAGTCGGACAGTAGGTATACATAGGATAGAGAAGGTCGGGCACTGGGACTTCACCTACACGGAGCCCTGCCCGTAGTTATACATAGGGTAGAGTAGGTCGGGTACTGGGACTTCACCTACACGAAGCCTGGCCAGTAGGTATACATAGGGTAGTGTAGGTCGGGTACTGGGACTTCACCTACACGGAGCCCGGCATGTAGGTATACATAGGGTAGAGTAGGTGAGGCACTGGGACTTAACCTACACAGAGCCTGGCCTGTAGGCATATATAGAATAGAGAAGGTCAGGCACTGGGACTTCACCTACACGAAGCCCGGCCAGTAGGTATACATAGGGTAGAGTAGGTCGGGTACTGGGACTTCACCTACACGAAGCCCGGCCAGTAGGTATACATAGGGTAGTGTAGGTCGGGTACTGGGACTTCACCTACACGGAGCCCGGCCTGTAGGTATACATAGGATAGAGAAAGTTGGGCACTGGGACTTCACCTACACGGAGCCCGGCCAGTAGGTATACATAGGGTTGAGTAGGTGGGGTACTGGGACTTCACCTATACGGGGCCCGGCCTGTTGGTATACATAGGATGGAGTAGGTCAGGCACTGGGACTTCACCTACACGGAGCCCGGCCAGTAGGTATACATAGGGTTGAGTAGGTGGGGTACTGGGACTTCACCTATACGGGGCCCGGCCTGTTGGTATACATAGGATGGAGTAGGTCAGGCACTGGGACTTCACCTACACGGAGCCCGGCCAGTAGGTATACATAGCGTGGAGTAGGTCGGGCACTTGGTCTTCGCCAATACGGAGCCCGGTCTGTAGGTATACATAGGGTAGAGCAGGTCCGGTACTGGGACTTCACCTATATGGGACCCGGCCTGTAGGTATACATAGGGTAGAGTAGGTCCGGTACTGGAACTTCACCTACACAGAGCCTGGCCAGTAGGTATACATAGGATAGAGAAGGTCGGGCACTGGGACTTGAACACCCACACGGAGTTGGCCAGTAGGGATACATAGGATAGAAAAGGTCGGGCACTGGGACTTCACCTACACGGAGCCCTTCCCGTAGTTATACATAGGGTAGAGTAGGTCGGGTACTGGGACTTCACCTACACGGAGTCCGGCATGTAGGTATACATAGGATAGAGTAGGTGAGGCACTGGGACTTCACCTACACAGAGTCCAGCCAGTAGATATACATAGGGTAAAGAAGGTCGGGCACTGGGTCTTCACCTACATGAAGCCCCGCCAGTAGGTATACATAGGGTAGAGTAGGTCTGGTACTGGGACTTCACCTACACGAAGCCCGGCCAGTAGGTATACATAGGGTAGTGTAGGTCGGGTACTGGGACTTCACCTACACGGATCCCGGCATGTAGGTATACATAGGGTAGAGTAGGTGAGGCACTGGGACTTAACCTACTCGGAGCCCGGCCTGTAGGCATATATAGGATAGAGAAGGTCGGGCACTGGGACTTCACCTACACAGAGTCCAGCCAGTAGATATACATAGGGTAAAGAAGGTCGGGCACTGGGACTTCACCTACACAGAGCCCGGCCTGTAGGTATACATAGGGTAGAGTAGGTCGGGCACTTGGACTTCACCTACACTGAGACTGGTCCGTAGGTATACATAGGGTAGAGTAGGTCGGGAACTGGGACTTCACCTACACGAAGTCTGGCCCGTAGGTATACATAGGATAGAGAAGGTCGGGTACTGGGACTTCACCTACACGGAGCCCTGCCCGTAGGTATACATAGGGTAGAGTAGGTCGGGTACTGGGACTTCACCTACACGGAGTCCGGCATGTAGGTATACATAGGGTAGAGTAGGTGAGACACTGGGACTTAACCTACACGGAGCCCGGCCTGTAGGCATATATAGGATAGAGAAGGTCGGGCACTGGGACTTCACCTAAAAAAAGGCCGGACTTTAGGTATACATAGGGTACAGAAGGTCGGGCACTGGGACTTCACCTACACGAAGCCCGGCCAGTAGGTAAACATAGGGTAGAGTAGGTCGGGTACTGGGACTTCACCTACACGAAGCCCGGCCAGTAGGTATACATAGGGTAGTGTAGGTCGGGTACTGGGACTTCACCTACACGGAGCCCGGCCAATAGGTATACATAGGGTAGTGTAGGTCGGGCACTGGGACTTCACCTACACAGAGCCCGGCCTGTAGGTATACATAGGGTAGAGTAGGTCGGGCACTTGGACTTCACCTACACTGAGCCCGGTCCGTAGGTATACATAGGGTAGAGAAGGTCGGGTACTGGGACTTCACCTACACGGAGTCCGGCATGTAGGTATACATAGGGTAGTGTAGGTGAGGCACTGGGACTTCACCTACACAGAGTCCAGCCAGTAGGTATACATAGGGTAGAGAAGGTCGGGCACTGGGACTTCACCTACATGAAGCCCCGCCAGTAGGTATACATAGGGTAGAGTAGGTCTGGTGCTGGGACTTCACCTACACGAAGCCCGGCCAGTAGGTATACATAGGGTAGTGTAGGTCGGGTACTGGGACTTCACCTACACGGAGCCCGGCATGTAGGTATACATAGGGTAGAGTAGGTGAGGCACTGGGACTTAACCTACTCGGAGCCCGGCCTGTAGGCATATATAGGATAGAGAAGGTCGGGCACTGGGACTTCAGCTACACAAAACCCGGACTTTAGGTATACATAGGGTAGAGTAGGTCGGGTACTGGGACTTCACCTACACGAAGCCCGGCCAGTAGGTATACATAGGGTAGTGTAGGTCTGGTACTGGGACTTCACCTACACGGAGCCCGTCCAATAGGTATACATAGGGTAGTGTAGGTCGGGCACTGGGACTTCACCTACACAGAGCCCGGCCTGTAGGTATACATAGGGTAGAGTAGGTCGGGCACTTGGACTTCACCTACACTGAGACTGGTCCGTAGGTATACATAGGGTAGAGTAGGTCGGGAACTGGGACTTCACCTACACGAAGTCTGGCCCGTAGGTATACATAGGATAGAGAAGGTCGGGTACTGGGACTTCACCTACACGGAGCCCTGCCCGTAGGTATACATAGGGTAGAGTAGGTCGGGTACTGGGACTTCACCTACACGGAGTCCGGCATGTAGGTATACATAGGGTAGAGTAGGTGAGGCACTGGGACTTCACCTACACAGAGTCCAACCAGTAGGTATACATAGGGTACAGAAGGTCGGGCACTGGGATTTCACCTACACGGAGCCCGGCCAGTAGGTATACATAGGGTAGTGTAGGTGGGCACTTGGACTTCACCTACACGGAGCCCGGTCCGTAGGTATACATAGGGTAGAGTAGGTCGGGCACTTGGACTTCACCTACACGGAGCCCGGTCCGTAGGTATACGTAGAGTAGAGTAGGTCGGGCACTGGGACTTCACCTACACGGAGCCCGACCAGTAGGTTTACATGGAGTTGAGTAGGTCGGGCACTGGGATTTCATCTACACTTCCTTCCTTGATTAATATTAAGATTGTAATATTTGTTCCAAAATCATTAGTGTTTCGATACTGAGAACTCTTTTTGTGCAGGAATCTGGCGAAATACTTCGAGAAAGTCACAGATGGACGGAAAGGTCTGAAAATCCTCCTTCCCCTCTGTGCCACGACCTACGACCTGATCTGGTGTGTATTTCTGTTTGGCTTCACAGGCTTCAGGCTTCAGCTAAGTACACTCAAACACAGGCGCTGCGACAACTAAGCGAGCTGACCAGTAATTCTTTTTTCTGGAACTGTCGGATACAAACGATCAAACAAAACCACAAGAAACCAAAACTTTCAAGTTTCATACTTCGGTCATGGGTGACGTCAAGTTAATTCCAGTCTCGAAGATTTCTAAAGTTTGTTTGTTGTTTGTTTAACGCCGCACTCGGCAATATTCAAGCTATATGGCGGCGGTCTGTGACGGGCGTAACAGTGTGTGGCGTAGACGGAATGAGAGTCAACATATCCTGAACGTCAGACAGAACGATCGTTGTGGGGAATGGCTCGGTTGGTTGGCTCAGACAATCTAGTGATCAACATCATGAGCATCGATCTACGCCAAAGGGATACCATTACATTTGCCAACCACTTTGCACGGTACAGTAAGCAGACTGTCGACTATCTAGAATGTCTGAACACCGCTTCTCAGCGGAAACCCTAGGCCTGCTTTCAATAAATCAGAAATCACAGACTGATGTGCTGATATTCGATGTACCGATTTGCACCAATTAGTCACGCGTGTATCCACTTATTTTTGGTTCGAATCCCACATTTTCACTTATATTTTGATGAGATATGGTTTGTCAAAAAGGGGAAAGGACCGCTAGGATTTCGTCTATAGCTGTACCGATACCACATGTTTATATCGGGATTATAGTATGAGCAAAACAACTTGGCTCTCAAAAGAGCGGATTTATATCCCATTAGGAACGATAGGGTAGCCTAGTGGCTAAAGCGTTCGCTCGTCACGCTGAAGATCGGGGTTCGATCCCCCACATGGGTACACTGTGCCAGTTTCTGGTGTTGCCTGCCGTGATATTGCTGGAATATTGCTAAAAGCGGCGTAAAACCATACTCATTCACTCACCTGCATTAACCCACGAAAGGATCATAACCAATAAGCTGACAAAGATTTATAACTTTGAAGGATACTTCATATGTCCTTGTCACCAGTAAATGTCTAAATGATTTTACCACAAATACATTTTCATCTTGTGCTGTTGTGTTACTCGTTTGTGCTTAGAGTTCTACTTGGGTTTTCATTCTTAGGCTATCTACCATAAAGGGTTTGATCATCCTGCTCGGGTTGTTGGGGCAGGGACACATAACATTACAACTGTCCAGACCTCTGATATCGCTGTCGTTGTGTGTAGGTTCTGTGAGCGAGGACACACTGTGGTTGGCGCTGATCTGGCCGAGAGCGCCGCACAACGGGTCTTCAAGCAGTACAAGCAGAAACCTATCATTGAAGACGTCCCCAGTATCAACGGAAAACTGTACAAGGTATTTGCAAAGTCAGGAAAAAGTGTGATACGCTACTTATGTGTTTCTCAGTTTCAAAGAACGACTTCAATAATGTCCAGGCAAATACTGGACGTTTTCCAAAGCGTCCTGAATGTGCTTTATGAAACAGTCACCAACTCAATATACATTACCTATATGTGTCACAAGGTAATAATGATTGTATTTCTGTACGCAGTACATTATCGAAATAAGAAACGTGTCTCTCTATATAACCATATTTTCAGTAAACAATGTTCTGTGTCTTTGCTATATAGATCTTACATCCAAGCTGTTTATTGCCCCCATTGTTACATTACTTACACTGTTAATAAAAAGAAGAGGTTATTCTATAAACAAGTGTCACAACTTTAGTGAGATAAATAGTCTACAGTGTAATAGGACGGTGACGTACGTTCAAGGATATCCCAGATTGGTTCGATGGGTGTCAAGTCTGGACTGTGTGCTGGCCATGGTAGGGTGGTTATGTTATCCAGCTGGAGGTAGTCATCCTGAAACTCCAAACGACGTCCACGTGTGCCTCCGTGATGCTGTCACGCCGAGCACTGCTCCAGCGACACGTCCCTGAGTAACATGTACAGGTATTCACAGTGATCCAGACCCTATCTGTTGCGGTTGTCGAGGAAGTCCAATGTGAACCTTGATTCATCCGAAAACATAGTTCCTGCCCACGGACGATTGTTCCAGCGCTGCCGCTCTCTACACCAACAACGTCTTGCAACGTGACGGCCCCTCAGTCGCGGGATAACACGGACGTCGACCATACAGGTTCCTTCTGTGTAGCCGATTACACTCACCGTCCGTCTACTCACCCTAACACCTGTAGCTCTGTGAAGCTCATCTTCAATTCGAGAGACACTTCGTCCACGGTTTCGTAACACAGTCGTTCTGATGAAACGGATATGTGATCCAGTTGTCGCTTTTGGTCGACCAGATTGACATCTGTCATCGACGTTATTTGTCTGTCGATATCGGAAAGGGGCGAGTGGTGACGAATGATATGAGATTGCGTACACAATTCAGTACTGCTCGAAGAGCCTGGTTGGAACTGGGCCTCCTTTCACAAAGCACTAAGGTGGTCGTAAGTCACTAAGGTGATCTTAGTGCAATGTTAAAGAATGGGAGTTAAGGTTAACCTTAGTAAAGGTTGCTTCGTGAAAGGAGCCCCTTGTCTACAGCAACCCAAACTTGTCGTAAAAGGCGACTAACGGGATCGGGACTTGGTAGATGACGTCATCGTAACCCAAATTCATAGATCGATGCTCGTGATATCAACCACTGGATTATCTGGTCACGAATATTTATTTACAGACTGCTGGCATATAGCTGAAATATTGCCGAGTGCGGCGTTATACAACAAACAAATTAATACAACCTTAGGACATTCATCTTAATGACAGTCAAAGTGTTCAACAAAGCTTCTAAAGTTATTTGACTAAGTTGAACCACCTACACAAGCGACGACAACCTCGCGGACTGCTGAGACATATATTTCATGACGCACGCACGCACGCACGCACGCACGCATGCACGCACTCATTGTGGAAATAAGTACGGCGTTAAAGATCAAACAAACATCTGAAACAAGTAATATTAATAGAAACCTTCTATAAGACAATCACTAAGAAATATGGACATTTGAAAAATATGAGAAGGTTCAGTGTATCAAAGTTTTTTCTTCTGTCACAGAATGAGACTGGCACCTTCAAATTTTACGTTGGCAATTTCTTCCAGTTCAACGAGTGAGTATACCAATAAACTGACAGGGCGATATACTAGTAACCGGCGTGCGAATATGATTTTACTCAGATCTTAGCAGTATTTCAGTAATATCAGAGCAGAGAAACAGAAGAAAAAGATATTCTGAAGATCATGGAGTGATAAAGTTAGATAACGTAACATTTGTTTTTTTCTCCTACGCCACATTTTTAAAATGTAAACAGCATTTGCCGATCTGCCCAAGAAACAAACCTGTCACTACTGCAATGTCACGCACGAACGGTTTAAGATGAAAACGTCTATATGCATACAGTGATAACATACCTGTTGTAACATCATCTGTTTCAAGGGATTTGGAAGGAACGTTCGACTTTATCTGGGACTCTAAGGCTATGTGTGCTGTTGACCCCAGAGACAGACCCAGGTATGTATTCAGGCAACTCTTTGTTTCAGTAGCAATTCTTCCAACAATAAACTCGTGAATTACAGAATGTCATAAAGAAAATATATCATTTTTCTCTCACTGCGAAAACAAAGTTTGGTGAACTGGTGCCGTTTGCAGGTCAGCAATTGTGTAGTTGTTAATTTTAGCTTTTCAAAGACAACAAGTTGCTGCAAACTTACGTATGCACTTTTGTTAATATATCGGAACGTACAGGGAATGTATGAAGACTGAACTCGGGGTCAGAAAAAGCTACCCTCTCACTTGCCCTAAGAAGCAAAGAGGATGGGGATATGGGATGACCACAATGTTTCTCACTGTGATTAAAGCTAGGGAAATATCTGCTTATATTTCACGTTTTTAAAGGTTTTCCTGTCTCCTACCCGTAGTTAAATATCACAGCTATCCAGTGTAGTGTACTGTAAAGGTCTTGTGATCGGTGTGTTTGTACCTCCAGATACCTGAATGTTATCCGAAGTGTGATGGGACCAAAGTGTACAATGATGCTGGAGTTCCCTAAGAAAATATTTTCAGGTAATTGGAAAATAAATCTTTTGCTTAGTCGTAAGTATCACCTATATCGATCAATCACAGTTATTTCTTAATTCCCATGCTAAAAAAACAATCTGATATGGGCCCCAGCCACAGGAAGCTTCCGCCAAGAGCAGAGCCGACTGCACCATTTCAAATGCCATGTGCATGTGTTTGTGAGTCACCAGGTAGTGATGATACCAGGTAGTCATAATGCACAAGTCAAAATAAGGAACTGCTTAGAACTAGTGTTGGGAATTGGTTAAAATCTCATAATTGATGATTGGTTCATTACAACTGATCAATCATCGAAAATAATTGGTTAGCGTCATTAATGAAATTTGTTAATGCACATAAAAATATGGAAAAACATGTAGTTCTTTGGGTTTTTTTGGCAAAATTTCACATCTTTAAATGATGACTATAGTCCGGACCGATGAATTGCAATCTAACTCGAAAACTAATAAACATAAAATACTCAATGAAACACTGATCATAATCAAAACGTCAGACCAACTCGGTGAGGTTTTTGCAGAATTTATGTCCTAAAAATAAACAAGTTGTTTAACAAACTATCATTAAAATATTGACACAGTTCACTATTTGTTACGAGGGAGGAGTGCAGAGAAAGGGACAGCCAGGTGTGCGAGAAAGGATGGAGACGGCACAGCACAGGCTAATGAATCAATAACTTTGTCGGCACTTGTGCATGTGCTTCCCTAACACCTGGCTGTCCCTTTCTCTGCACTCCTCCCTCGTAACAAGTAGTGAACTGTGTCAATAGTTTCATGATAGTTTGTTAAACAAGTTTTTTAATTTTAGGACATAAATTCTGCAAACAAATCTCAGAGTTGGTCTGATGTTTTGATTATAATCAGCGTTTCATTGAGTGTTATATGTTTATTAGTTTTCGAGTTAGATTGCAATTCATCGGTCCGCTTTTGAGCCAAACGGACTATAGCTATAGTATGTTAGGAACATAAATTTCTTGGAGTCTTTAAGATAAATTCAATCATGACTTGAAACGAGCTTGTAGTGCTTATGAAATGTAACAGACAAAACCAAGCTTGTGAAAAATATTATTAATGGAAACAAGTGTTCCAGAATTGTTTGTGTTCGATTATGAGAAAACATGATCGATTGCTTGGTCGTTTAGTCACTGCGACCAATCTTCGATTATTTCAATTAATCGGACCACCACTACTTAGAACACTATTTGATTGGCCTTCATCAGAGACACCTTGCACCAAATAAATGTGTATGTGCGTGTAAAGTTGAGCTTTGTTTTACTTCAGGAGCACCGTACTGTTTCAGTGAGGAACAGATAAAGGAGTTTTACGGTAAGAGTCTTACGGTCATTTTAGAATCTGTAGTATTAATGAAGGCCGAGATGAATTGGAAATTCATTTTCTGTCTCCATCGGTTGACACGTTTTTGTACAGGTGAAGTACATTTATCAAGTAAACCTGTACCCAGATGCCACTCTGACAGGTAGCCTAGTGGTAAACGCGTTCACTCGTCACGCCAAAGACCGTGACATTGCTTGAATATTGCTAAAAGCGGTATATAACCTTACTCACTCACCCACTGGACTTGTGGGTGCTGAATTGTGACGAAGGGCGAGATTGATATAATTAAAAAACTCATATGTCTTACACTCAGCTATTTGTTTTCCTGATTATTATATTTTGGTTAATTATTTCCCCTTAATCGATCCTAACACGTGTTGTTACCAAGGCGACATCTGCGACGTGGAGTATCAGGACCAATACGACTTCGACATGCACAAAGCCTACCACGGGGACGTGGACGAAGAAGGGCGACCACTGAAGCAGGAAGAGGTGGAGGAAGAGGGTAAGGAAGAGGATAAAGACAAAATCATCCCCTTACAGTCTTATTGTCTGAGGAAAAGGGAGTGATGTGGCTCTTCTCTCAGCGAGTTGCAAACTCTCCTGGAACCAGCATCAACCAGGGTACACTCAGTTTTGTGGGCGTGGTGAGACTGAGTCTAATCTCCGCGACTCAAACACATCGTGCAGGCGGATATGCTTGAAACGATGTCTCAGCCGACGAGTCTGAAGTCGTCATGGTAGAGCAGACTTACATGTGCTCTTTAATGGGGGTCACCTCACATCCATGTGTTGGACTGTATAACTATATATTGTAGTATAAATCAATCTAATAATCAGTTATTACCCTAACTCGTAACATAGAGTGTCTGAGTTTTACATACGATGCTAGCTGCTACCTTAATACAAAGAGTGAACATGTCAGCAGATTTAAAAGATAAGATCACACATCATCGTTGTGACTAGTTTTGCCTTAACAGACACATGTTGTTTGGTAACTGGTATTTGCAATTTCATTTTTGTGACCAGATATACAGAGCAGAACTCTTCATGTAAATCCATTTTGTTTTAGAAATGCTTTTGTTACACATGGCATATAAAGTTTAATAAAACATGACACAAAAGTTATATTTTAGAAATTAATTTAGAGTTGTAACACATAGCATATAAAGTTAAATAAAACATGACACAAAAGGACATTGATGACTTATCTTTGCCCATAACATAAAGCATGCCAATAAGGCATTGTACTGCATTAATATATTGCACTGAGAAACAAGGAGAGGGTAAGTAAAAACAGCAAATATCGTGCAACTAAATCATCATGTTACTGATGACAGATTGTGGTTGTTTAGTTTATAGTATAGGAACACCAGCCTTTTGGAAAGGTGGCCAAATGAACGTTCGTTCCAGTTCAAATATGAACAATCGCATACTGACATCACCTCAAGTTAGTGAGCGAGTGAGTGAGTGAGCATTGTTTTGTGCAGCGTTTGACGATCTTGCGGCACTTTCACTACAGGGACACCAAGAATGACCTTCACACATTGTTCACATACTGGACATCGACATGACGACTCGATCAGTGTATTAACTGACATGTATCTGTGCCAAATATGATTCGAACAATTGCTTCAATATATAGTACCAGTCCAATATTCACATTGCACCGACACCCCAGCTTTGTAAACAATGTTAAAGTATTACAAGCGCTTAATTCTACAACAATCTTCAATATATAGTACCAGTCCAATATTCACATTGCACCGTTACCCCAGCTTTGTAAACAATGTTAAAGTATTACAAGCGCTTAATTCTACAACAATCTTCAGTGACGTAACTAACAGTTTTCATCGTGCATGTTCTTAGTTATTTTAGAAAAATCCTGTAAAAAGTTTCTGTGATTGGGTTTCCCTTCAGGAATTCTTGAACAAACTAGAAATCAAAACATGCCAGTTTAAAAGAAAAACATACAACCTTTACTTCTTCACATTCGTAAATACTCGCCGCTTTCCGTAACCTCCAAGAAAGCATTCGTGACCAACTCGTGTTATTACACAGGGGCGTATACAGCTTTTTGAGAATGTGTGTGTGTGTGTGTGTGTGTGTGTGTGCGTGCGTGCGCGCGCACACACTTCATTTTCACCAGAGTTTCAATGGTCATTTAAAAGACTTTCAGCACATGTTCATTATTGGTGACTGAGCATGACTGGCGTTGTTAATTAGAATACAAATAGACATGCAGACATGCCTTCACACGGGAACATTTTAATACGACAAAAATTAAAACATTTTACCCAACTTGTATTACAAATCTGGTAACAAACAATATGATGTGTTCACATGTTGGCTGGGATTTTCCAGCCGCTTCAAAGAGTTAGCAAACAGGGCATGACAGCTACGGATTTGGATTACCCTTGCCCTGTAAAGTGTGCTTGTGTGTGCGTGCGTGCGTGTGTGTGTGTGTGTGTGTGCGGGATTCAAACCCACATTCTCAAAGTAAGTCACCTCATCGCCAGCACATAAAAGACTGCGTCTAACCAAGCCAACCACCGTGGCTTTCACAAGCATGGAAGTCAGAAATTGGTTCTGAAGACCACGTACTTCATGTACCCCTCTTACAAGTGTAAATTCATACTGTTCCAACGGCCGCCCAAACTATGAAACACATAGCCATTTAGAAATTAGTCAAATTAAACATCGGTAATATTTGGGAATACCTTTTCAGTACAGTACAGGTATGTTACAATTGACCACATTCTAAATGGCATTATGTTTTCAGGGAGATCACTGTTTTGTAGTAAACTTTACAAAGAAAACGTATGTGTCGTCTTCTGTCAAGACCGGGACTCAAAAGGAATCAATACACACGCACACATACAACACACACATCATTATCATGTTGTCACTTCTCGCTATTTGCACGAGGGGGGACCACTTGCTGGTGCAGCAGCAAAGATATTAAAGTGAAGCAGTCTGCTTGCACCTATGATACAACCTATATATACACCTGGAACTTAATTAAGCACCCCCTGATAAATTTCATGATAGTAGAGCAACTGTTAACCATCGTTAAACATGAATGATATCTCTGTATTACAACACATCTCTAGTAGTCTAAAAAGGTGTTTCAGTTCCTTTGCACTCGTCACAACGCATCCCTTGTGCACTTGAAGCATACAACCCACACTTTTCCCAAAACTCAGTTTCTCTCATATGCAATTTATGGGTATAAAAGCAGACAAATTTGTAACTGTCTCCATTAATGAATACTGAAATGGCGAGGAGATGACTTTCTGAAGCACTAAGGTGGCAAATTGTAGGCATACATGCAACAGACATGTCCTTCAAAGCTATTGGACGACAACTGGGCTACAGTCACTCGGTCATCAGCCGACTTGTCCGAAACATCAGATGACAGATGTGAGAGATCGTTCAAGGCCTGGACAACCCAGGAAGACAACGGCCCGTGATGATCGCAGCCTGGCACGTCTGGTAAGGCGAGAACCCTTTGCCACAAGTTCGGGTTTGAAGCGACTGTGGTTAGCCTACAGACAATTATCCACCAGAACCGTCAGAAATCGCCTTAGGGCACTTGGTATGAGGTTCAGAAGAGTCATCAAACGTCCTGCTCTGTCTGATCTCTTAAGAGACGACGTCTAGAGTGGTGTATGGCCCGTCGGCAGTGGAACCTGAGGACATGGAGGAGGGTCCACTGGTCAGATGAGAGCAGGTTCCTCCTCCACGTTACAGATGGTCGAATGAGAGTGTGGGGGGCATAAAAACACTGCTTACGTGCCCAGGAATATCCACCCTACTGTTCCTTATGGTGGAGGATCGGTTATGATCTGGGTTTGTCTTTCACACGACTGTAAACTTCAAATGGTGACTGTCCGAGGACATCTTAATGGTCAGCAGTACATCTGGGATATTCTCCATCCAGTTGTCGTGCCTCACTTTGACAACCATCCGTTGGCTACTCACCCGATATTCTTGGACGCCGTGTGAGGTTGAGAGAACCCCCCTCTCCAGAATCTTGCACAGCTGGAAGCTGCTTTGCATGAAGAATGGCGGCAATTGCCTCTTGATCGTATCAGAAGGTTTACCAGTAGCATGAGGAGAAGGATTCAAGCTGTCATCCAAGCACGTGGGGGATACACCCGATACTGATGCCAGACCCATCAGATGTTAGCATGTGACATTCCTTGTGCATCATTTCTTGTAATAGTCAGCCATTGACAATGCTATGACCATACTTGTTCAGTGACTATTTTCATCAAAAATCAATAGTGACCAAATCACATTGGTTACGCTATTAAAACAACACGAATTGGAACCATTGTCTTGTTTTTCATTTGCCAATAGATCGTATGTTTCACAATAGCTAAGGTTCCACTATCTTTGGAATAGTGATAAAGTTACAGCAAGTTTTGTTTCTCATCATCCAAAAATAGGGGGGTGCTTAATTAAGTTCCAGGTGTATAGATCCTAATAGCTAAACTATTCTACACGTGTTTCTAACTTTCATGTCTAATCTACTTCCGGGTACTACAAAAAGTCCTAATTCTGCATAATGCGGAACACACCCGCACAACACTCCTCCCCGTTCCGAAATTGAACGGGGCACTCATAAACCAAAACATATATAAACCCAAAAAATTCGATAACTGAAACCTGCTGACCTCTCTGAACTCAAAAAGAAATATATCAAACGTCAGTCTCTCCTCCCCCCTCCCTGCTGCCGGTGGGAAAGGAGAAAAGGAAGAATCGGGACACCCTCTGAATCTGTGTCCCATTCCATATTTATATCCAAAACAACGACATCTCCTGGATGAGCCATACTGTGCAGAAAGCACAATTTTATACTTTGGATATACATACAAAATTGAAACAGACAATTTTCAAATCAAGATATTTCAACTACATACAAAATTGAAACAGACAATTTTCAAATCAAGATATTTCAACTCAACATTTCCTGTTCAAAGGTAATCCTAAACTTACAGGAGCAAAAAACAAAGCCTGGAAGTACAGTTATTGTAGGGACGAGGGACATGGAAAGTGAAACCATGAGGTCTTGGCTTCACACCCTCTGTACATGTACTGGTCTAAAGCTTCAGCTGCAGACGGTGTAATATCGACACAATCTCCATGAAACCACACGAAACAGGTTTCACACTGAATCATCAACTTCCAATCGTCGGGTTTCCGGCACCAACAATGCAACTCCTCACATGATAGCCCTTCCGTAGGCTTAGACTGACCCCTGTTGGTGGGAGTGGCATCTCCAGTGGAAATAGATAAACCTCCAGCGGAGGTTTCTTTGCTGGAGAGAAGGGATTCCCTAAAACGGAGAGCCCATGTTGGAACATCAATGCCCAGATACGGCTTCAGACGATCATGATTCATGATGGTGATGGTATTCGGTTTTGACGCGGTATAGCAGTGATGAAATACGCTCTGCTATAACACAGGGACCCTTCCAAGGAGACGTCAATTTTTTGCATTTTCCTTTTATGGTGGCTGTGTCCATCACCCAAACAAGATCACCGACATTGTACTGGTTCAACAAAACATTGACATCATAATCCCTTTTTGCAGTTTCCTGTGTGGTCTGGAGCATTTTACGAGCTGTCTCGTGTGCTGTACGCATTCTGTCAGTCATAGTCTGTACATAGCTATCTGTATCCAAATGACTTTCTTGTGGCAACACTGAAAACATTAGGTCTGCTGGTGTAGTGACCTCACGGCCAAGCATCAGCTTATTGTCTGTGTACCCTGTACTCCGGTTGACCGCACTGCGTGGCAATTAGTGGCAGGTGAACATCCCATTCTTCCTGATCCTTGATGAAGCAGCGGACAGCATCCATGAGTGTGCGATTGAAGCGTTCTACCTGGCCGTTTGATGATGGGCGATAAGGAGTGGTCCTGGTTTTGTGAATTTGGAGTGTGTCACACATGGCCTTGAACAACCTACTCTCAAAATTCCTACCTTGATTAGTGTGGATAGCAAACGGTAAGCCAAAACGGGAAAAGAATTTATTGACTGCACCCGCGGGCAGTTTCCTCAGCCCCTTTTGAAGGCAAGGGTATACATTCGACCCATTTGGAAAACTGGTCTACGATCATCAGAATGTGTTCATTGCCACGAGGCGTTCTTGGCAATGGGCCCAAAAAATCTAAATGAACCCTCTCCATA